GAGAACTGACATAGTGCCCTTCAGTAAGCAAACATGGCAGAATGGAAAATCCCTGATGGAGGATAATGGAGGTTGAAAAATTACATGCGAACGTAACTGGTTGGTGGATGTTGGTGGTTTGGAACATGAATTTTATGACTTTCCCATCATATTGGGAATGTTATCATCCCAACTGACGAACTCATATTCTTCAGAGGGGTAGGTACATGACCAACCAGATAATCAATGAATGGGGGATTTTTGCCACCTTTGATTACCGGAGGGTATAGTGCAAGAGTTCATAGAAAACCCGCGAATGCGTTTCATCTGTAGTTTCATTTACCATATGCAGATTGTGGATGATTGTGGGCTTTACTGTTTGCAGTTCCTTTTTTTTGGGTGGCCCGCCTGAAGAGCAGTTTTATCATACTTTTGATGGCAGATTGTCATAGATTTTCAGGATTTCAAGTGTCTACCTCAAACATTACCGTGTTACAGCAACCATCTCTGGAAACTACCACTATACTATACTACAAATGTGGGTAAAACAATATCATACACCACCCATTTGGGAATGGTTTATACCATCTATTTATGGTGATTTGGGGGATGATCTATTATTGTTTTATATTGTTTTAACCACATGAATGATTTCATCTAATCGATGGCTTGCGTCATACGTCCCAAAAATCTTTCTTATTTTTCATATTTTTCATCGCTAAATCGATGGCTAAAACTCCAAGTCTCCAAGTCATTTCCATCCCATCCGCTGATCGAATCCAGGAAGTGGTTGCTAGTTCAATGGTTTTTGCAGGTTGGCCCTCCAGGAATCCAACAACAAAATATCCCACGAGATATGTCCACTATATTTCCTCAACATGGTCATTGAAATCCTCCAGCCATCGTTGAAACCTTCCTGTGCCAAGGCCTTAGCCCGGGCGTGTGTGCCTTATCCTCGCTGGCTCGACCCATGGTCACATCCAGGCGCCTGGGGAGGAGATTTTTCCTGCCAATTTTGGAGAAATTCACTGGGAGAGATGGGGCTTTAGCCTTGAAATTCATGGGGATTGAAACCACAAACATGGGGATTTAGCTGTGGAAAAATGGGGTTTAGTCGTGAAAAATGGAGATTGAACTATGAGACATTGCGATTTAAGCGTGAGACATGGGGGTGAACTCTGAAACATTGGGAGTTAACCAGCAAACATGGGGATTCAAGCAATCAGCTTGGGGATTAAAGCACGAACATGCCCAACGAAAATGGGAATTTCACCTTTAAGAACATGCTTTAAACTATATTTAACCCGCAAAAAACTCGGGCTCTAACCAACTATCATGAAAGATCATGGGATACTACGGGATATCAGCAACAATATATGGTACATGGGTTTGTCTCAAAATGGTTGGAGATATCAATTATGACCATGACACAATAGGGAAACTGATGCATGTCTTCTTTTTTTTGTAGGGTGGGGTTCCAGACGAGACAACCAGAATATGCAACTCTCAAAAAACGCTTAATGTGGTTAAACCAATAATAAGCCACTCATTTGGGAATGGTTTATACCACCTACTTATGGTGATTTGGGGGATAGTTTATTATTGTTTAAAACACATTATGAATTATATATTCGGACACTAAATCAACAGACATGCAGATCTTCAATTCTCTTAGGATTATTGGTAGCAATGGGTATCCCGAGCTTCGGAAAAACTTGATAGAAAGCGGGGAAACGTCGGTGGTAAGATGGGGTGTAAGACAGGTGTCACATCTGACAGAGTTCCGTGGCGCCAGCTTGAAAGAAGTGGAGAACTGTTGGCAAGCACATTCAAGTGACCTTTCAAAGACTCTATATGATATAGTTTGATTCAGATTCTGAAGAAATCTCTCTCACATAGAATTAGATTCGATCTATATCATATATATATAATATAATAATATATATATATATAATATAAGTATATATATAATATATATAATATAATAATACATATATATATATATAATATATAAATATATATATAATATAATAATGTATATATAATATAATAATATATATAGTATAATAATATATATAATATAATAATATATATATAATATAATAATATGTATATATATATAATATAATAATATATATATATATATATATATATAATATAATAATATATATATAATATAATAATATATATATAATAATATATAATATAATAATATATATATATAATATAATAATATATAATATAATAATATATATATATATATTATATTATATAATAATATATATATGTACATATATGTATATATATATATGTATATATATATAAGAGATTCCCCAAAAATATGGGTTGCAACTTCCATCGGCCCATGCTCGGCCTTTTTTTCACGGCTTGCAGGTTGAGGAAAGCGACAGATTGCGATGAGAACGAGAGCCGTGAGAGGCAATGTTTTGGGCGGGTGAATCCAGCCTGGGGGATTCCGAAAATTCTGGGGCCTGATTTATATCATGGGATATAATGGGATATCAACAACAATGTATATAATGTGTATATATATATGTTATATATATATATACATATAATGATATGTATATGTATATATATATATATATGTATGGGGTGTATGGGTTTGGAGCCATTTTTCTATGGAACTTAACCAGCAATAGGGATCTCACCGATGAGTGGTGGAAATGAGCCAGCCTCAATGTTCAGAAAGGAACAAATTTCCAATAATTCATACTCTGGTTGGTGATTTCAAACATTTTTTATTTTCACCAACAATAACTGACATTGTTTTTCACTAACCTGGTAAGGCGGTTACTGGTTGGTGGTTTGGAACATATTTAATATATGGGATGATCCTTCCCATTGACTTTCATATTTTTCAAGATGGCTATTGCACCACCAACCAGTACTGGATTGAAATCAATTTCGCAGGAACTCCCATGATTTTGCTGTTTTAGACACTCTAAATTGATGTATGTTCGGAGTTTCTTAGCTGGATCTGGGCGAAATTTCAAGTCCCAGCACAATGGCCGGCCCAGATCCACCCCTACTTACCCATAGATGAGATTAAAAATGATATATCTCCAAAGCTTGGGGGTTTGCTGAAACCTTGGTTCTGAGTACGATCCGATGTATTTAAGTACCATCAGGGCCCATGATGGATTTCCCAGCTGCAAATCATGGAGGTTGGAGCGTGCCCTGCTCGCCGAGATTGAGGCTGAGTGGTGTCAAATGTTGGTGGTGATTAATTAGTAGACGTGGGTGTTTCTCAAAATGGAGGACGTTATCATCCATGTCATTTTAGAAGGAAAACCATGATTTGGTGATTTCAAAGATTCGCAGTTTACAGTGAGGATTTTGGGTTAGGAGGCTAACTATAGTTGAAAGAAGACCCAACCAATCATCTACAGTGTGGGCGAACCCCAGTTATAAGTTGGTTTATAGTTTATAAAACCCGTCAACTATAGTTGTAAGTATCATAAACCATAGCTAGTGGAGCTATAAACCACCTTAGCTATCGTAAATGGGGGACCCCACATTGTAGTGGCATTTCTTTTGTGAAAAAATACTTTCCATACATCCGACACAGGCAACTCACGCTGACTCCGCGGGCATCTCTGCACAACGAGTGATATGGTTTTGTCATGGTTTGTCTGGAAACAGGGTACCCCCATTCCATGCCATGGATTATTTTTTTTTGGGCATATGGCTATGGATCAATACCTATTAATACTATTTTTAGGGGGATGAACATCCATTTACCAGCTATTTTGATGTTCACTAGGGTACCAAGGTTTTGACCCATACCCATATGGACAATTAAACAAATGGGGTCTCCACCATTTCTGGATAGGATGCGCTAAATATGTGAGGACCCACGTCAGTGATGTTTGCTGAGATTTACCATATTCACCAAGCTAGCTGTCATAAATCAGCTCAAAATCCCACTTAAACCATCTTAAATCATTCATTTTTGTTGGTAATCAGCTGTAAATCCTATTAAATCCCACAAAAAAATCCCAGATTTTTTGTTTGTTAAGATAGTTACGTTATAGTTTACGTTATAGTTATATTCCCCATAAACATCCACCCCAACGTTTGCCGAACATTGGTGGGATCACAGCTGTCACAGGCAGGTTTGTCCGGCAACCACAGTGCCTTCGATTTCGACAGGTCCGGTGGAGATGACCCCCTGGGTCAGTCGATCAAAGACCTGGGGGACCAGTGAACCACTTTGGATATATATATATATATAGTGGTTAATAATGGTTAATAGTGGTTAATAGATATACCATAGTTATCTGGGATATACACCACTAATATCTGGGATAATTCTTACTGGTGCGTTTTACGTAGGGAATTTTCGGGAATGATCCCAGTCATCACTAATTCACTAGTAATAATCATCCCAGCAACCCCCAAGCAACCCATCTATTCCCTACGTTTAGCACCAGTAAGTATTTTTAGTATTAACATGTATCATGTATTAAGCATCCAATGATTGTATCCAATTTTGACCCATAGCCATCTAAAGAACTAGTTGTTTCATCACCATGAAGCGTGGTTCATCCAGGTAGAAACCAACTTGGCTAACGAACGGGGGCCCCACCTAATTGTAACGGGAAATATTATGTTTTGTGCCACTAGATTTAGCAGACCGTACTGTTGGACAAACACACATGTTGGAGCCTGTTTTGGTATTTTTACCCGGAGGCCCTCTAGTACAACGGGTTTGTAATAAAACATATAGAGATCAGCCAAGATGGTTGATGGTAGTGATTCCCTTCACGGTTGGGTGATATTGAAATTGGACAGTACTAGCTAAGATAGTAAAAGAAGCAGTGGTAACAGCATTTAGTATGATGATGTATGATGTAAATGATCAGATATAATAAATAAAAATAATAAGATATTACATGATATTACTATCATCAGGCATGACATGGACATCGATCCTCTGCTGGAGAAATCACCAAAGCGGTAACCATGGAATATGTGAAAAAATGATAAAAATTGCCACATTCGGCTCTCTCAGAAGGTATCAAGTTTTTGAGAGTTTCCACTAGCCTAGCAGATCTAGAATGATCTAGATCTGGTAGATCTAGATCTAGATGGGCTAGATTTCACCTGTCATAGACGTCTTCAAACTCTTCAACTCGGTTTTAGCATGCTTTCACCCGGAAAGATCGGCTCACTAGGCTGATTTGATGCCCAAGTCCCACGAAAAACCATGGCAGTGGATTAAAACCCATCATTTTTGGAGGAGATTAACATCCAAAACACACCATCTATTTTGGTGTTCACTAGAGTACTGATTGGGTTTTGACATGTTTTGATATCATTTTTGATCATCAGCAAATCATTGATTTTGGGCTGGAAGCCGACTTTGACCACTGGCAATGGAAGTCGTCTTTTCCATTGATGTCTTATCACCGAAGATCAATGGTCAACATGGCTGGGAATGATCTCAATGGCAACGGGAAAATCCAGGATCTGACAAAACAGGGGGGAATTTCCTGCCAGGTTACCCGGCCTGGTAAACATACAAAAAACTGTGGAACATCACCATGTTTTTATGGGAAAATCCACTATAAACGGCCATTTTCAATAGCTATTTGACAAATTACCAGAGGGCAGATTGCCAGAATCTCACGAAACCCATGGGTTTTCCCTCCAGGCTCCACACATTGGAGGAGGCGCCATGGACGGATTGGTTTTCCCCTTGAACATGCTGGGGCATCCAAAGCTCATCATGGAAAAAGAAACTTTGAGTCCCAACAACTTTCTATGCATATATCATATATACGTATATATATATATGATGGTAAGACTAATGTTTTTCTGCACACCTTCAAGATCCCAAGTTTCACAGCAGCAGACCCGACTCTTCTGCCCAAAATCGGGTCGCTCTGAAAACTCACACGCTTCGAAACCAAACAATGGCTTCGAAGAATGATTTTCATAGTGGACATGGCCATGAAATTTTGTTTCAATGGATTGGTTTTCACGGGAAAATCTTAACCGGAAACCATCGATTTTCCCATTGAATATGGGGTTTTCCTGTGTATTTTCCCTTAAACCAATCCATTGATTGTTGCGTGTCAGTTTTTTTTCGGTGTAAGATCTCCCGTAAATCCACCAGAATTGTGATGGATTGTAGCCGTACACAACTCGATGTTCAGGCCCTTTGGGCAGGGATCAAGGGTTACCACCAAGACTATACAGTTTTTTTTTTTTTCCTGGGATAATATTAGTATAGTGCTTATGATTACTTCGTGTAATCACTACAGTATTAGTGTAACCACTGGCCATTTAATGTGATCTAATTATACTAGTATAGTAGTAGTTTGTGATGAAACATATGTCCCAAGATAGCCATAGAGTATATGGCCCTGCGGTCAACACAGCCCATGTTTGTGCATGACACCACTTTCGCTGCTTATCCTCTCATACTCAACCATGGCTTGCTGGAAAATCACTCTTTTATACAGGATGGCCCCCCCCCAGTTATGTTTGTTGGTGAACATAACCCCATCTAAATATTAGGTTGGATGCCTCCCCCCCCCAGTTATGTTTGTTGGTGAACATAACCCCATCTAAATATTAGGTTGGATGCCTCCCCCCAGTTATGTTTGTTGGTGAACATAACCCCATCTAAATATTAGGTTGGATGCCTCCCCCCCCAGTTATGTTTGTTGGTGAACATAACCCCATCTAAATATGAGGTTATTTAAGCGTATCATACACCAACTTGTTGTTAGAACTGCAGCAAGCTGGGATTTTCCACCGGGATTTTATTCCAGCTATATGGCCATGATGTTCCCACTAGATCTAATATAAATGATAGATTATATATATATATACCCTCTGGTTATTTAACATAGCCATGGTATAGATGGCTCATGTATAGATGGTTTACCTATTAAAAATGGTGATTCTCCATGGCTATGTTAAATAACCAGAGGATATATATATATATATATATCACCATTCGGCATTTCCACCATTGCGGGCAACGAAAATCGACGGAGGAACTGAGACCATTGTACAGCACCTTGCCTCATGAGATGCCTTTGGCCGACATCAAGGCCAATCAATCGAAGGGGACGTTGATTTGGGTTGATTTGGGAGCCTTCAATGGAGGTATTTGGGAATCCCCCCCAAAAATAGACATGGGTAAAAGATGTGAAAACTGGAAGTGAAATAATGAGAAATGACTAACTGCTATCTTTTTCGGGTTTGCTACGTATAAAATATACATAATATCCCTAGCAAAAATACTTTTGGAAACTTGTTTTGATGATCATCTTGTTGATTCTGAATGATTTTGACAAGACAATAATTTTATTGCAGTAAAACACATATATAGATATATATATATAGAACATGCTGGAACATCAACGCGCATTTGATGAGCTCCTGACTTCAGTTGATCATCCCAAAAGGGAGGCCCTGATGATAACTGGTTGGTGGTGACTGGAACATGAATGGATGGCAAGACGAAGTCCAGAAACAGTTACTTCACTGACGAACTCACTCCATGATTTTTCAGAGGGGTAGGTCAACCACCAACCAGATAAAAACATGTAAACACCATTAAAGAAACATCCCGAGGAAACCAATCCAGTGAGTTGTGGCGAGTTTTCGTCTCCCATCCCAACAAACAGTTTTTTGGAAAGATATCGCGGCTCAGAGGGCTCTGTTATGGGAGACCCCTCTATTAACCAACCAGTGGGATTTTAGGATATAGCTATTGAAGCCATGGCCCATTTAGTTCGTTGATTTACCGTTCTTAAACATGGTGATTTTCAAGTTTGCAAAATATTAGATTCCCAGAGGGTAACTATGCTTCCTAAGAACTTCGCTGGGATGATGCTCCAAGCACAGCACCAGGGCGGCTTGGGCTTCACTGCTGCACGATATCTCTTGCACCAGTACTTCGTGCGACGCCACTCGTGGATGCTCGGTGTCACATCTGGGATGGTCATTGAAGCCATTCATAGTGGCTGATGTACCCAGAAGTCGTCAGGTACCCACCCCCCATTTTTTTTGAAATGCTTTACTTGTGTTCTGACTGTTTTTGAGCAAATTTTGGGAGAATTATTCTAAGTATTCTAAAACTCTCAAAAATCCTGAATGGGATGGGATGATGATAGCTAGTTTGATATAGATATGTTTACATCCATCTACAATTGATGATCCTGGTTTTTTCCGAATTCTACTACGGGGTTGTCTCAAAATGGGACAAATATGGCACAGCCATGCGGCTTTCCAGGGTGGTCCAAGCCGGCCGTCACTTGTGAAACAAGATCCAACAGTTACAGCAATCGTTCAATTGGCACAAGAACGTGCACCGGAATTCTGTGAGTTGGTGAAAATCAGCCCAGAAAAACATCCATTGGTCCATTGCCCTCCAGACCCACCAGAGTGTAGATCATTGTCCTAGACAAACCATGGGTTTTCCACATCTATGTTAGTTTACCCTAGGGTAACTAGATCGATTATATCTACCATAAACCCTAGTTATACATGAGTTATTCATAGCCAACTTAGCTAAGTCACCAAGCAAGTCGCGAATCCGTTCACAGCTGAGGTATGTCCGCGGTCTGAACCCTGCAGGTGCCTGGAACTCGAACTCAATGGGCATCTACACATATATATATATACATATGGGAAAACTGGAATAACATCGGTTTCAAATCCACTTTTTCTATGGCTCCGTCTGGCTTCATATCCAATATTTTCAAGATCCATTCAACAAATCCTACAAGATATAAATTGGTAGAATCCTACTAAGACCGTAGTAATTTCCTTTCTCTTTCCCATTTCAGGGTTGATCTGCACCAGATGATCCAGGTGATGGTCGGAAGCCCCCAGACCACAAGGCCATGTGCTGCCAGTGTCAACTGGTTCCAAAGTTATGGTACCCCAAATCATCCAAGTCATTAGACAATGACTTCGTATTGAAAGCCATTCAAAAATGGGGCTTCCCCATCTCAAGGAGTCCATTTTAAGAACCGCTAATATCTACTGCTACCAGATATACAGCACATATGTATATCAACAAATGAATAGATACACCAATAAATCAATCAATGAAGCGACAAAACACATATATTGTAGCGTATAAATGTAATTTTTCTATGCCTTTCAATGGTTGTCTCCAGATTTCAACCATCGAGTTTTGGAGTCCATAGATTCTTGAGCGCCACATGACCCAGATGAAAGTGGCCAATCAGTTGGGTGCCCCCAGATGTTTTATCATCATTTCCACCGATTTAAATGGGGATGGGTCAAAACCCTGGTACCTAGTGAACCCCAAAATAGCTGGTAAATGGATGTTCATACCACTAAAAATGTATCTATAGGTATTGACCCATACCCAAATGGCAATTTTAAATGGGATGTAGTGGCGTGTATACCCGTATTTTTGGACAACTCAAAGTGTCCGGCTACGGGACTGTAAACATCATGAAACCAGATGATTGTTGTCAGCTATTCCCCCAATGGTTGCGTGTAAAGATATGTGGAAAACTGTTCAAAATGCCTTTCCTATATCAACTGGTACCACATACCCTCTGGTAAACAAACATAGCTATTGAAAATGGCCATTTATAGTTGATTTACCCATTAAAAATGGTGATTTTCCATAGTTATGTTAAATTACCAGAGGGTTTTTTCATGGGGCGTGCCAGGAGGCGTTGCGCAGCCGCGTGGCCGGACATTTGTTGGAACTCATCGAGCAGAAGGTGAAATCTTGGCAATGCAGTTTGAAGTTGGGATATTTCATCAATGGGAAATCCAGGATCCAACAGATGGAGGTACGTTAGTACCATATTTCTGGCCATATTTTGTGGGGATATTCCCTTACATAGGCCTGAAAAAAATCGGCCTTATATATATGGATATATATGGTAGGTACCTCCAATGAATCGGTTCCTGTTGCATGGCCATTCAATAGAACTGCGCCCAGACACAAAATTTAGCTTTGATCTTTGTGCATCGAGCCATCTGAAACTGTGTGGCTTGGAGGTTTGGCGGACGAAAGCTGATGTTTTTTTTTTTTTTAAATTCATCAAAACGATAAAGAAATAAATAGATAAGATAAATATATAAAGATATTTATATATATGTTGTTTTACAACATATGTATTATACTACATATAGTGTATGATAGGACATATTTTTGCCAATATATATAAATATAGGATTTATTCTCTTCCTTAAACCCTTTCTTCCACTGACATTCTCTTCCACAGCTGTGTGTTCATTGAGGCCATGAAAGCAAAGCTTTGGGATGTGGGGTTTGGGGTGTGGGGTGTGGTCTTTGGCAATGCATTTTGCTATGGAAAATCTCCATTGTTTCAATGGGTAGATCAACGAACTAAATGGCAATTTTCGGTAGCACACTGTTAGTTTACCAGAGGGTACCTGTATTTTTATCTGTATATTTGGATATTATATAGAATATATATATATATACATACAGTATATATATATATATATGCATACAGTGTATATATATATATACACTATGTATATGCATATGTACATGTGCACATAAACATAGGTGTATCTAGGTGCGGGGAATGTCACTCAGCTAAAAATCCATGGATCTTTTGCCATCGAATCTGTCTACCAGGTGGGTCTCCAGGGCTTGAACCTGAAAACCTTGGCGCCTGGGCTCACTGAAACGGGTGGTCGGGCGGCGGTTGGTGCCATGGGAGGCAGAGATTGCCCCATTTTTTTTAATTTTTCCGGTTTTTCTACGATTTGGATTTTCGGGTTGATGTTCTTTTTCCGGAGGGTTAAAGTGAACAACTGAGACCTGGCTTAAAGAAGCTCTGCTGGACTGTACAGCTATCCGAGCGAACGCACAGTTTTTGCCAGATTATCAGGCATGATGCCTTTTTCCTAATTAATCTTCTCGTTCGCAAGGCGGAACGTTGCACGGCAGCAAGGAGTTGACCCTTTCATGCAGTGAATGAAAAAAAAATGGTTAAAGTGAATTATGTGATCATTTTTAGCCTGAGACCTGAGACACAAATTCCCCTATCTCGCTCTCCGCTGAGGCTGTGGTGGTGGCTACACTGGAGCATCTCCTCCATGGCGATGAACGACAGAGGTTGAAGCAGAGCTGGTTGGTGCATGATTTGAAGCCCGAGGAGCCATGGATCATGGATGGATCTGGTGGGCAAAAGCACGAAATCCCGATTTTTGATGGTGATGAAATCACCAACAAAACATGATGATTCAATCATGAAAATGGGGATTGAAGATGTTTTTTTTGCAGCAAAACATTGGGATTTAGTCAGACACACTGGGTAAATAGCTAGAGAAGCTCACTGTTGCTTATCCTTTGCAGAGTATCTGAAGTTGGCAACAGAAATGGGTTGGTAAATAATTCGTAGATGGTTCCTAGATGGTTCTTGGTTTCTTGGCTGGTTTTGACTGGTTGGATTTGGTGAATGGGTTGTGAAAGATGGAAGGTAATTGGGGTATGTAGCCAATCACTTATCACAGATTTGGATCTGGAAAAAAGTGGAAGAAATGGGATGATAACCTGGTTGGTGGTTTGGAACATTTTTTATTTTTCCATATATTGGGACTTTAGTGAATCTAAGTGGGAGCCAAGAGCGGACTGTGGCAACTTGTAACGACCTCACCCCGACATCTCTGGAAATGATTGATGAGGTTAATTCCAAAATGATCCAACTAACATTTAATTTAACTGGTGAATTTGTGAGATTTACCCTTGTCAACCATTTTTACCATCATTTTGGATCATTTTGATCTTAATCCAGAATGATTTACCCAGATGATGTTCTTTTTCTATCATTTTTTAAAAGACCTATTCCACCCCCCACTACGGTACATAGGTATTCCATCTCAACTGGGAGGATTTTTGCTGACGGGGTTGTGCGGTTGTGGTGATAACTTGGGAAGCCCAAAATCCTTGGTGTGAAACCATGTTTTTGCACATAGCACGTTTTTTTTTGGCACAATTTCGGATGGTATATATATATATATATTCATACATAATATAACTAGATTAACTAGGCATGGTGATAACTTGGGTGCCTCCATTTTGAAAAATTGCCATATTTTTCAGGTGGCAAATCACCAGCAGCTACTCGCAACGATCGCGAGGACCTGACAGATGCACAAGGTCTACAGAGCGTCGTCGCCACTCAACAGACCTTCACACCTTAAGATGGTGAATGTCGGGGAGTGTGGATTCAGATTCTTATTACTCTCCAGTAAACTAACATAACTATGGAAAATTATCATTTTCCTGGGTAAATCATCTATAAGTGTATATTTTCCATAGCAAACTGTTAGTTTACCAGTGGGTAGATCATTATGATTCATTATAGATCATGAATATGGATGATTGGATTGGATCAAAGATTCATATTCTGGTGTTTCTATTGGATCATTGGGGCTTCTTGAGATCAATGGATGTTGAGTCGTCTTCCGCGTTGCGCAACGGCGCTCAGGAAGTCTTTATGGCCCACTTCGTATACTCCAGTCAGTGTCCAGCTCAGGGTGGAGATGGCAAAAAGGGGCAAAGCGAGGAACTGGGGAAGAGCAGCAGAGCACTGCCGGCTCCAAGAGGGGAAACTTTAGATGGTAGTCTCATACTTTAGATGGACTTTTGATGGAAAAATGTCATACTTTAGATGGACTTTTGATGGAAAAATGTCATACTTTAGATGGACTTTTGATGGAAAAATGTCATACTTTAGATATCTTCAAATGTGACGCTCCTTTTTTTTTGGCCGGGGCTGGGTATCCAAGATGAGTCTTCCTCATAACCTCGGAGAACTTGGGATCCCAGGAAGAGTGACAGCGGCTATGTCTTGACGCTACAAAAAGGACGAGAAGAGGTGAGTTTCATTTCACGCATCTACGATCCTTGATGGCAGTGATCATCTACTGTTATTAGTTACTATATATAATTATGATTAATTATATATCTATAGATGGCAGTGATGATTTGTGATGATTTTCCAGCAAGCCATGTTTGATTACCAGATGGTACATTGACGAAAACTGTATATTATGCACTGTTTCGCAGCGATCATCTACTGCTATTATATATGTGAGCTTGGAAAGAGCTGAGATGAGCTTAGAAATTCATCCCCAAACGTGGAGAAGATGCGAGTTTTTGGAATCCAAGATTGGTTCCTGACGATGTGTGATGCTTTTGAAATGAAACCCAGTCTGGAAGCGCGCCCCTGAACTTTGAGAAGTACTGTGGATGGAAGAAATCCTGCACCAGTTGATAGGTGGTTTATCCCATTATCTATAGGGTTTCAACCATCCAAGATGGTGCAGGATTTCTTCCATCCACAGTATCATTGAATTTCGCCACAGCTTTACTTCGCATCAAATTCGAGCAGAATTCATTAGCCAAGGATGGTTGGACGCAGATTTCACAAGCCATTCGCAGAGAGGTGCAAAAGATTCAAGGCCCTACAGTTGGGAAAGACCTGCTGTGAGAATTTAACATCATCTGGCGAAACAGTGTGTTCTCGGCATCACATTTTGCAAATGATGTCTGTTGAATCCATTAAAATCTATGAAGGTCTGTGTTGCCATTCACCGTTCGTTTCCGTAAAAAATCTTCAGTATTTGCATGAATGACCAGACTCACTTCTATTGGGGATGCAATGAATCACCAGGGATTGATTTTATTAATTTTTGGTGGTTTGGAACATTTTTTATTTTCCATAATATATGGGAATTTCCTTCCCATTGACTAATATTTTTCAGAGGGGTTGAAACCACCAACCAGAAAAAAAAAATGAACCCCAATACGTCATCATTTTCTCTGCTCATGTCCTGCTGAATGTTGCGCCGTGCGTCCTGCTGAGTTGCGTTGAGGCAAGGACTTCAATTTCAACGACGCTGTGCAGGTTGCGGACCAGGTGCGTAGATTAGGTGGGATCATGTGCACGTGTAGGATATAAAGGATGAAATATGGTAATATAATTGTAGATACATTGTTCATCATTCATTATTATATGTGTGTATACTATACATTATATATATACATGTGTTATAGATATGTCTTAACATCGAGCAAACATAGATATTCTGATTGAAGACGAGGGTGTGCCAGGCTATGAAGGCAAACATGGATACGTTGCAGGGTTGCATATGAAAATACAGCATGACTAAATGGAGACAAGAACATGTGAGCAGTGTCCATAACCCCTGTTGTTCGATTATTATATTAGAGGTTATACCAAAAATTGCGGAGTATCACCTCATCCACTAGTACTAGTAAGGGGAATCCCGTTCTCTACTAGTCGCATTTTTTCAAGGGACGACACAGGTTTTGAACATTTTTGAACACTGCTAAAAAGTGTTGATGTATTTTTTCGGAAGGTGTGCTCCCAAGATAGGATGAAGAGCCCAGAGGAGTAGCAGGTTGTGGTTCCGATGAATTTTCCCAAAGATTTTCCGAAGCTGGCAGCCATGGACATGGCTGCAATCCTCCAGAACTGAAAATTTCGGCATTTTGTTGTGTCATGTTGTGTCTCTGGACATCTAGTAGACTAAAAATGTAGACTGTGGTTGGGCCGCTGGGGTTGCCACGTGTCCATGCTGGAATTTTTGGGTCATGTTTACACCCTCTAAACGTAAAATGGAACCAACCAAGCCATCACGTGGCAATGGAACGTCCTCTATAAATGGAGGTTTATAGCTGGGAAAATCATCTATAAATGGGGAAATTTCCAGCCAGCCATCTTTGATTACCGGCAGACCCCACAAATTTTGGATTCCAGTTCTAGTCGTATTTTTTTAGGAGCTGTAAGATTTGAAGAGGCATTGTTCTTCTAGGGAAAAACAACATGGGAATGGATTAAAACTCTGCTACCCTGGTGAAAAATCTAATAATAGCTGGGATTTATGGATGTAAAAGGATGCTTTACTGTATTTAATGATGGTCATCCACAATTAAATTAATGGTACTTTAAATATGGTGCATCCCAGCGAGTTTTCATGGCTGAAAAACCTCCACTTAGATTTATGGAATAAGCGCATATCCCAACTTATATATGGGATTATGAATGGATTATGTGGGTTATAAGTTATATATATATATGGATTATACACTACGTTTCCTAGTCGTGGGATGCACATCCAAGTATCATCTATACATGGTGGATTTAATGGGACAATCATCAATATGGAAAATTAGTGGGGTATACCCCCAAAATAATGGGATATTTCATCAATGGGAATTTCAGGATCCTAAAATGGAGGTACGTTAGTACCATATTTTTGGCCATATTTTGTGGGGATATTCCCTGAAATTTAGGCCTTACATAGGCCTTATATGGCCATTGATTTCATATGTTTTGACCCACAACCCCATGATCGTTGCCTCCCGCTTCCAGCACCCCAACCGTTGACTCTTCAGGTGCTGGAGAACTTTCGGACGGTGTCCGGCTCGATGTGTCCGGTGGCCTTGTGAAAAAAGCCACGATTCTCCAGAATCTTCAATTCTTCGTGATGAAATGCCAATTTCTGTTTTTCGCAAAAACGCTTCTTGATGGATGAATATATTTATATATATATATACATTTAAAAGAAAAACGCACACACACATATATTTATATATATATATACATTTAAAAGAAAAACGCACACACACACATATTTATATATATATACATTTAAAAGAAAAACGCACACACACACATATATATATACATTTAAAAGAAAAACGCACACACACATATATATATATATGTATATTCTCTATCGTTTCTGGACTGAAACCTCCCCAAGGGCCAGTCTATTAGATCAAGCGAATCACGTCTCCGACGTCTCCGACGTCTCCGACCGAGGTCGAGACATGTCAGCGATGCTTGCGCAGATGCCTGGGGGTCCAGTGGGCCGTGTGCCCCTCCACGAGATGAGAAAAAAGGACCTTTTCCGTAACTCGGAAGGATGACCCTGGAGGATGGGGATGGATTCCATGGCCCAGTCGTAGCCTCTGGTTATGTCAAATAGCGAACTGGAAGCCATGGCCCAGTCGAAATAGTGAGTTGTCCCAATAAAAATGGTGATTTTCCATATAGTTATGTAAACGTTTACCAGAGGGTAATTACTAAGAAGATGGTTTCAATACGTTTTTATCAATGTTTATCCAAAACTATACCAAATATCATAGACTATCACAATCATTAAAAAGTGCTTTGCATGGGTTCATACCCTCCAGGAAGTGCCCTGGTTTTTGGGACCCACAAATTACCAGGGCATCACAGCACTGAATCCAAGTGGGATACCGGCTGGGAAATCATGGCTGGGAAATCATCGAACATCGAACTTCGAACTGGGGGATTTTCCAACCAACTGAAAACCAGAAGGGAAATTCAATGGGAATTTCAGGATCCTAAAATGGAGGTACGTTAGTACCATATTTCTGGCCATATTTTGCTGGGACATGATGAACCAACTTCATACCAATGGATTGGTTTTCACGGGAAAATCTTAACCGGAAACCATGGTAAAATTACCAGCAAATATAGGGCTTTCCGGTTAAAAATTTCCCATCATCCAATTCTATGATACCAGAAGGTAAATGGTGCACCAAGAGTACCCTCTGGTTATTTAACATAGCCATGGAAAGATCCACCCATTTCTAAGAACGGTAAACTGGTAAACCATCTATTTCGATTAGGGCCATGGCTTAACCATGGCGAACTGTTAGTCATAACCAGATGGTAAATGGGCAGTGAACATTTTCAAACCACAAGAATCGTTTTTCGATGGGTTTGTCTCAAAATGGGTGAAAAAGAAGCCACAAAACGGTGGATATAATGGGATGATATTTCATGATATAGCTACCAACAACATGGGGCATCTGTTGGGAAAAAATCACATGGGTGACTACAGAAAAAAGGAATTTTGCGGAGTAAGAAGCATTATCATTGATTATGATGGGGTTTTCTGTGTCAATAACGACAATCATACCCATTTGTCCCTCCAAATCTCTGATATACTCCAATTTATGGCCATTTAAATAAGGAACATGGTGGTGAATCATGATATTTTGCGGTAGCATCCTGTGTTAGACAGAACCATGTGGTGCGATATTGTGATGGTTTGAAGCAGGGAGATCACATCAAACAATTCCAAAAAAATGTATGGTATACAGCTACATGGTCATGAATAAACTCCGGCAAACCAGTAGGAAGTCCATATGGGACTGCCGGACTTCAAGAGGTAAATGATTCGCAACTACCTTAGATTACCTGAGTGTGTTCAGTTGAACTTGGATTAGCTTAGATATGGTTGATTAGATACCAATGTAATTTTTGCACTCTGGAGAAAGTATCATAAAGACCTATACCAATCATCTTGCCCCATTTTGCGCTGGACCCACTGGATTGTTAACTTTTTACGGGTGCCAGATGACTAGTAAGATTAGCAGATGGCCCCATATTATTGGAGTATTCCGGCTGGATAGTACCATTATTCGACTACCCTTTGGTAATTTAAGACAGCTATTGAACATCACGACTTAAAATAGGCAAATCATCTATAAAAAAAACAATTTTCCATAGCAAAGTGTGAAATTTCCGGGTGGTAAGAAACACTTTAATTCTGCTTGAATTGCTACTATCCCCCTGCCGGTGCTCACCCTGATCCGACTCGTCATCTTTTCGCATAGGATTCTTCAAGCACTCTGTGATTTCTGCTTGGCAGGAGTTCAGACAATTCAACTCAAAAAACAACTTTTTCTGGTTGGTGGTTTCAATTGTATGTGTAGATGGACAGATGGACGGACAGACAGATAGATTTATTATACACATGGATTATAATGACTAGACTATACATATATCTTATACGCATATAGTATAATTAGTCACCCCCAAAGATAGAAAATTGATTCATGACAGTTTTAGCAGGATTGCGGATTTTACCTGAATTTCATCTTTTTGAATCTTTTTTGGGATTACTATAGATTCATTTTCCCCAAAATTTATGGCCATGATCGAAGCTGGGTTTTTTCAGGTGAGACCTTGGAATACCTCCGCGCAGCAAATGCATTGGACGAGTCGGAGCCGGAGCCCATTGTGCTGGTGCCGAATTACATGAGCCTCAGATCTGACGGGGAACGGGATGAAGCATGGGGCATTTTCGGGGCATTTTTGATCCAGATATAGTGGGTATACAATGGGGATATCATAACATATTATATATATACACGGAATATACTGGAATATCATGGGATATAATTGAGATTGAACATGGTTCATTAGGCTTACCACATTATAGTGAGTAGACAATGGGGATATCATATTTGTATATAAGAATAGTAATATTTTCCATTTGAGATGAATATCAATGATGGGACAAACAGTAATATTAGGATATGATATGGAATGCAATAATAGCTATCATACAAGGTGGTGCCCCAGTTCGTTAGCAAAGTTGGTTTGGTTTAGTCCACAAATATGTCACTGTTGGGTTTATGATGATGAAGTAGCTACAGCTACGGTTAGGCGGGGAAGCATAAACCAACCAACATCACTAGGGGGAACCACCTAGGGGTCTTCTAGCAGCCTTCCATCGGGGGATCTTTGGGTCATTTAGCAGTTACCTTCCCGATGACCCTGCCGCAATTCAGCCTACCCGTGTCGCATCCCACCCCAGTGTGGTTCCAGGAAGCCTGGTTCGAACCCACTAAAATGGACGATATGCAGAAAGGACATATACACGGGATATACCGAAAACATCCACTGACTAATCATGTTTGATTCTCAATATTCGCCACGAAGTGATTAATGATTATTTCGGGACTATGGCCATTTGGCCATTTTTCTGGGACAGCCACACAATTATAGCATACTTGAGAGTGCATCCCAGTTGGATAGTTGGTAAGTGGATAGTAATCATCTTAGTTCACCCAGTTGTATGTGTGTGTATATATATATATATATACGTGTATATATATATATATATACGTATATATATATATATATCTGGAGCTTCCCAATACTGGATTTTTTAACTCCAAACCCAAAAAAGATCCATTTTGGGGGTTGGTGTGGAAAAAAGAACACAGGAGTGGTTTTGGACGTTCGGGACACTTCGGACGTTCTGGAGTGGAAAAAAGCGTTCAAAAAGCGTTAAAAAAGCGTTCAAAACCGGTCGGAAGCGTTCTGGAGTTTAAAAAAGCGTTCTGGAGCGGAAATAACCGTTCAGGAGTTCTTTTTCTCTTGAATTTGGGAAAATTGATCGATTTTGGCTTTTGTGTTTCAATTTCCACGATCAAGAGGATCCAGGTATATATATATATATCTATGTATATACACCTAAAATATCCTCACTTCAATATATATATATAGAGGGTATATGCATATGTATAATATCCCCATTTCTACATGAATTGTTTACCACAGCAGGTGCCGCGTCACGCCCAGGCTGGGCCCTTCCAACTGCGATGGCACTACTAGCAGCGCGGCATTTTTAACTCACAGTTTGCTATAGAAAGTCATCATTTTTAATAGGTAAATCATCTTTAAATGGGTATTTACCATCTGGTTATAGATTTACATGGAAAAATCCCTTGTAAATGACATGGAAAATCCCTTATAAATGGCTATAATAGGTAAATGGCTATGGTTATACATGTTTTTTAATAGGTAAATATAAATGGCTATCTATAATAGGTAAATTTCAATGAACATTTATACCATCTGGTTATGACTAACATAGCCATGGAAAATCCCCAAAATAAATGGAGCTTTAGTTCGCTGGGAAAATCATCTATTTCTATGGGCTATTTTCAATAGCTATGTTAGTCATAACCAGAGGGTAAATCAACATAGATTCGTAGACGTGGAAATTTCCCAAGGCTTTTCCGTTCGGGTTAAATGATCTACTTTCACAATGGCTTCTCCACATCTTTTGGGAAATCTTTGCAGGTAAATGTCAGATCTGCATGAATAAGCCATACTGGTTTTTTGAATCGGGGGCCACCCATCAAATTAGTGATTCCGCTGAAACACATCTGGTTGGTGGTGACTGGAACATGAATTTGATGAATTTCCATATATTGGGAATGTCATCATCCCAACTGACGAACTCATATTTTTCAGAGGGGTAGGTACACCACCAACCAGACATGGTCGTAGCTTTGGTTTGTGTATAAGACATGGGCTAAATAGAAAAAAGTCGTGAACATTGATGGGCCATAGCACCCATCCTGGTGGTTATGACATTCAACCCTGCATTAATAAACTCCAAACGGCTGTTGAATTGGGAAGGTACCATTTAAGTCAGTATCAAATCATGACTATTGGGTGAATACTTTTCCTAATTTTCATAAACCATGGTTTATTAATCCGGAGTTGACATTATCAACCATCCTTAGCCATTATGAATCCTTACTCATCATCATTAGCTAATGGACTGATGATTGGGTAATAAGCATTATCAGTACTAATCATTACTAATCATTACTAGTCATTACTAATCATTACTAATCATTACTAATCATTACTAATCATTACTAATCATTACTAATCATTAGGGTATACCACTATCATTGGGTAATAACCATTACCAACCATTAAACATTAATGATTAATCCTTACTAATCATTAGTAATTGTGTATAAACCCTTTTTTGATGATGGGTAATAACCATTATGTATTAGCCAATGATATGATAATTGGTTACTCATGGTTAATGGTTACTAATCATTTGGTATATCACTATCATAGGATAATAACCATTACTAACCATTATAACAACCAATATAACAACCATTATAATAACCATTAAAATAATCATCATAATAACCATTACAACACCTGATGTATAATAACCATTATAATACCATTATATTAATTATTACTAACCATTAACCATTAATCATTCCTAACCATATCACTATCATTGGGAATGTCAAACAACCATCAGCTGGACATACCTTTAGAAAGACCCGAAAGATCATGTGAAAAACCCCATCTATACATGGCACACCCCATAGAAAAACCCATTTAAAATAAACTTAAGGGTTTTAATTAGGAATTCTCAATTGACATGAATGAGGATCTACTTAATCAACCTATCTATCAGCTGATGGGGAATTCCGCTGCATCTCCATGGCTAATTGGCAATTTCCCCCATTCAAAGACACAAGTACCGAATGGCATTCAGATAGCAATCCCTACATTGAATCCTGAGAGTACCCTGTATATAATATATACAGGGCAATGTCATTTTCAGACTGCCGAACTGTTATTATAATGGTTATTATAATGGTTATAACACCTGATGTATAATAACCATTATAATAACCATTATAATAACCATTATAATACCATTATATTAGTTCAATCTTTTTTGGAGACCGATCTGTTTCAACTTTCGAGAAGTACAGCGCTGTCTTTTTGGGATTGCCTGAGGTTTCTATGACCTTTGCTGTCCTGATCTCTGTGCAGGCTGGAAACCTGCCAAAAGGGAAGTTGGCGTGAATAAACTCCATGAACTACAGATATATCTGCCATGAAACCCAGTTTTTGGAATTATGTTCACCAACTTAGCTGTCGAGGCCCACCTTGTAACTATCCCCAAACCCGAGATTTCTCTGATTTTGGAGGGCAATTTTCAGGGAAGAAGACTATGTTTGAGTTTCGTCGCCAAAAGTTGACAGCTACTTCGTTTCATCCAACACACCAATGGAAAACTACCATTCCTACAAGTAAACAGTCTACAAACGGGGCATTTTCCACAGCTATCTTGAATTACCAAAGGGATCCAATGGTATACGAACCACATATAACTGGCCTGTATACGAATTTTATTGACCAGTGATAAGAAGTCTATTCATATTATCCCATCCCCTATTCATATTAAGCCCGAAGAAACCATTTTTGGACCAATGGGGTGGTGGATTATGAATTGGGATGGGATTTAATCACCAAATCATTGGGATGCAAACCATGTAATGTCAACCGCGGATTAATAACCCCCAAACGGCTGTTTGATTGGGGTACCATTCTTTTGTATTAAATTACTATTTGGGGAGTACCCCCCTAATTAATAAACCATGGTTTACTAATCCAGGTTTGACATTATCAACCATCCTTAGCCATTATGAATCCTTACTCATCATCATTAGCTAATGGATTGATGATTGGGTAATAAGCATTATCATTACTAATCATTACTAATCATTAGGGTATACCACTATCATTGGGTAATAACCATTACTAACCATTAAACATTCATGATTAATCCTTACTAATCATTAGTAATTGTGTATAAACCCTTGTTTTTGATGATGGGTAATAACCATTATGTATTAGCCAATGATATGATAATTGGTTACTCATGGCTAATGGTTACTAACCATTTGGTATATCACTATCATAGGATAATAACCATTACTAACCATTATAATAACCATTATAAGAACCATTATAATAAACATTATAATAAACATTGTAATAACCATTACAACACCTGATGTATAAAAACCATTATAATACCATTATATTAATTATTACTAACCATGAACCATTAATCATTCCTAACCATAGGATATATCATTATATCATTCATAGTACTGACCATTATGATATACCTTAATTATTGATATTAACCATTAACCATTATCTCATTATTGGTTGACCATTCATTTATATGACCATTGGTTATTAACCATTATTTCATTAGTAACTATCAGGAACCATTACCTATTGATAGTTCCATACATGGGTATTGATATTAACCATGAACCATTAACCATCATTTCAATACCATGGTATCAACCATAACCATTGATAGTAACCATTAAATTAACCATTAACCATATTGGTAGTAACTATTATTTCATTGATAGTACCCATGAACCATTACCCATGTATATCACCATTGGAATTCTCGCCAGGTCACCGTAGTGCCTTTGAAGGGGCCATCAGTGACGCTCAATCCGTGGAGTTTCTGCAAGACTTGGCCTTGGAAGAAGGTGCAACGACTCTGACAACGGGGGTCAGGTGTGACTTCCATCGCGACTTCTTTGGTGATGAAAATAGTGTTTTTCCGCTTGGTGGTGACTGGAACCATGGAATTCTGAATGACTTCCCATTCAGTTGGGAATTTCAGCATCCCAACTGACGAACTCATATTTTTCAGTGGGGTAGGTCAACCACCAACCATGAATATATATATATATGGGTGGATTTATATTAAAGTCACCTTGGGTCGATATAATGGTTAAAACTTGGTTGATTAGGATTATGATGAGTGAATATGAATAAATGAACATGAATATAGGTGATGAACTCCGGAATACGATGTCAGTTCACCATTCTGATGGGACATTTATCGATCAATGGGTCATTTTCCATAACCATGTTAGGAACAGCTGGAGGGTAAAACTTTCCTCGATGAACAACGCACTAGCTGCGGTGATTGGGGATTATGATCGATCACGATCACCCATAGGGAGAGCGTTTATCAACCAAGTAGCATCAGATGGGAACATCCCATACTGAAAAATGCTGGTTTAAGATGGTGGAACTGTTCTGAAATTGGTGATATATTATGCCAACTCAATAGGAAATGCACCCCCCAACAAGGAATAATGTGGTTAAAACATTAATAAACCATCCCCCAGTCATCACCATTTTTATAGGTGGTATGTTTACCATTCCCAGTCATGGATAATTTATTATTGTTTTAACCACATTGGATCCAATACTTCACCAGGGTGTTGTTTGGGGTATTTCACATGGGGATGGGATAGTGAGACCATCACATCTCTATTTATAACCCTAGTGAACACTCCATCATAACCCCCCTAAAAGCATTACAGTTCTCTCAATAAAACATAATTTTTGGGGTTTTCAAAGCCCAACTTATTGTTTTAAACCTACTACCAAAACATATAATCATGGTTGTTTTGATCATGACCATTCTTATGATAACTTATAAGTCTCTTAAAACATAATCCAGATAAGCACAGCCACTTTTGTAACACATCCTTAGTAAACGTATTTTTTCTAAACTATTATTTTCACACCAATCATTATAATACAGGGATCGGTTAAAACCTATGATACCATATTTTCGGGGGATGCCCATCGACAAAAACCAACTAGTTAGGTGTTCACCAAAGGCTTAAAGGGTCTTCATAGCCATATAATGCCAGCCCATTCTGTAGATGATTTTCCCATCATATCCCCATCATGTCCCAATGAAATCCCCATTCGATATCCGATAACCTAGATAACCATTTTTTTTACGAGCAAAGATCCAAACAAATAAGCCAAAGATTTCAGGTCCCTCAGGTGAGTGTGAGCGAACTATTCTATATTGGTCGTTATCCACATATCAATAGAATAGTTCACTAATATGCTCACATATCAATGTCAGTTAATATCTATATTAGTGTGATCCAGTTATTGATATAGATATGTGATCATAGTAGTGAACTATTCTATTAACTGGATCAATATAGATATACATTAGTGTGAGTGAACTATTTTAACTGATCCAGTTATCGTAGATCCTGCAGGGGCTGCAGCTGCGTCCTTGCCGAAGCTTCGGGAGCTTCTGGACGCCGAGGTTTGGACCTGGGGGACCTGGACCACAGGAAAACCATAGGAAAACCGTAGGAAAATGGAGGTTTTCCCTCTGGTGATGTCAAATAGCTATTGAACATGGCCATAGAAAGTTCGTGGATTTAGCCATTGAAAATGGTGGATCTTTCCATAGCTATGTGGCTGTTTACCAGAGGGTATCCCCAACGATGGATTGTTTATTTGCATCCGAAAGGATATGCCGAGTGGAACACTGGAGGAAAGGGCAACACCAGCGATCGTCCTACCAAAGGACACAGAATCCAGCCGACATTCAACCAGAGCAGCGTGAACCTTGTGGGACGAGAGGATGCTGAAGCTGCTCGCCAGCGCCAAGAGCGAATCAGGCCTCCGGCCCCGCCTGGGAGCCCAAGACTCAAGGCAAGGGGATCAGTTGCTCCATCTCTTCGGGCTGAGCCAGCATCCAGTGGAGCGGCGAGCTCCGTGGCGGCGCCTGCAGCTGCCGAACCAGCTCCCGATACAACTGAGGCCACTGCCTCGTCTTCTGGGGCGGTGATTCCTGAGGAGCCGGCGCAGCAGGAAAACAAGCCTGAAGAGAACCAGCCCGATCCCTACGTGGAGCCTACAGCCAAGTAATCTGCAAGGCCGAGGCGTGTCGTGGCCGAGGATGTCATGGAAATCAATGGCTTCATGTACACTGTACACCTGTATTATGTTTGATGATGGTTCCCAGGAGCTCGAACCTTGATAGAGTCAACATGCGAAGGATGATCCAATGCCACCGAAAAGTGCAGTGTTTCCAACATTGGATCACTTAATTCAATTGTCCATCGAACTTTGGCCATTGTCTGTTTTTCAATTGCACCACTGTGATGCGCCGCCATTTTGCGGTGTGGAGCTCAGCTTGGTTGTCGGATTGGTAAATTTCGGACATTTCCTAAACTGTTGCGAAAGCTCAGCCGTCATGTGCCGTTTCTGACCAGTGCTCATTGGCCGGACCAAAAAGAAAGCTGCTTGTGACCTTATGCACTCTTGTCTTCATGCATCCGTTGTAGGAGCTGATGTCATAGCGTAATTCCTAGGCAAGAGACTTAGGCATTGTAGAGAGTAGTGTGCCTAAGCCACGCCGGTTGCAAATTTTCGTTTAGAGTCAAGTTTAGGCACGAGATTTTCCATTTTCCTAAGTACATGTGATCATTGACTGCAGACTTGACCGCCCAATTGCCAAGGTCTGTGAGTGCCTCTGTGGTTTGGGCCTTCCGGCCTCCGCGATGCTGCGGACGGCGGGGGGTGTTTGTACTATATACTAAACTATAGGCACTGTGCAGAAACATTACGACCCTGGCACTTTGGCTCAAGAAAAAGGTATTGCAGCTACCAGGTTTTAGGCTTATCCTGGCTGTATATCCTGTGAATACACAATCGTGATGCCTGATCCTTTTCATAAGTGCTGAATCTTCCATAGAGCAGCCAGGGTTTGCCACTGGGTAACCCCTCAAAGGTCTTTGGTGAAACCCGGCAGAATTGCTGCAGTGTCAACACCTCTGGAAATTTTCAACTGGGCGCTATGATTTTCCCGGTTTGTTTGTTCATAGTGTCAAAAGGTGTTTGGATACTGTTTGCTCCCAGGGTCTCCCCTGGTTTCTTTTGTGCAGTTCGTCCTTGGTCAGCCCACCGTTCGATGGAATGTCTTAAAAATGTTCCTGGTTTTCCTTGCAATTTTTCGCTCAGCAGCTATAGTTTGGTCCGGGGGTTTCCTTTGCTCGTGTATACAAATTTGCATATTTCTTGGTTGGTATTTGTGAGGTCTGTGGTCTTGATTTGGATACGCAAGTATATTTGAATGTTCCCTTTTGCGCGCGTGTCTGTTGTCTCCTGTCAAAGGTCCGCCCCCATCCCTCAGGTCCGTCAGAAATAGATCTCCTGATCCAGGAGGAGGAGGAGGAAGATTGCGGCGCGACCCCATCGTTCCAAGACGTGGACCCGCGGATCTTTGAATGTGGAGCTGGCGATGTTCTATGCATCCGTTGTGCTCTACATCGCGGTCATGTTCTGCTCCTGATCGACCAGTCAGCCACCCAATCCTTGCAGTGTTTTATCAACTTGCAGTGTGTTTTTTTCATGTGTTGGCTTTCCAAGTTGACAGTTTGATTCCCCACCTGCCACGTGAGGGTTGTTAGATTTTATCAAAGCTGGATTCCTCCTCCTCTCCTCTCCTCTCCTCTCCTCTCCTCTCCCCTCTTGGGCGGGGAGTTTTGCAGTTCAACTTGGCCAGCTCGCGCTTGAATGTCATGATTTGCTGAAAGAATCGGTTTTGCGTGATGACATGACTTTGCGCGTTGTGTCATTCATCGCATGGCGTCCACATCGTGCGCTTAAGGCCCCAGCGTTACAAACAGTTTGCGGTTTTCCAGGCAATGGAGCTTGATGCCCAGTTGTTTTTGGAACTTTGTGTTTGCGTTGCGCCGCTGTCTGCCAACATGTGACCCGAGGTGCCGGAAGGTCAACGACTCTCTGGGTTCAGACGAATAGCTGCCGGATGGCTTCCACCGCTCGACGCAGGTCATCGCAAAATTGGAGGTGCGGTCTTTCACTTGCAAGTCTTCTTTTGCGAGCTTCGGTTTTGCCAGGGCAACCTATCTTTGGGGCTTGGTTCAGGATGGGTTGGCACAAATGCGTGGTGTAACATGGAGAGTTGTTACCTCAAAAAGTTTTTTTTTGATATGGCAACGTTGAAAGCTTTGGCATTTGCCATACCAACAACAAGGCATTGATACGATGTGGGAGCGGAAGCTGGGTGGGATGAAAAGGATGTGGTTGACCGTTCTCTGGGGAAGTTCTGAATTTATAGTTTAAAGTTTCCTTTGAACACATGTTGAGCACTGCTGTTTTCATCTCTCGTGCCATTTTTGATTTTCAACATACCCCAGAGACACTGGGTTTAATCTTTTGTACCTTGATTTTTAATTTTCAGAAATAGGGGTCAGGTCAGCTTTTCATCGTATTTTTTTTGCTCATACCTTAGCCCTCCAGGTTATTAAATTTGGTTTTTGGGATGAAAACCTGGTGCTGCACCCTAAGTTGAACGCCTAACGGGGATGATAGGGAGTTTTCATGGAACTATGGGTGGTTTATGACATTTCTTTACTACCAATCTTTTTATATAAAATAACAGCATTTACATTTTCACCAACAATAACTGACATTGTTTTTCACTAACATGGTAAAAAACAATTACTGGTTGGTGGTTTGGAACATATTTAATATATGGGATAATCCTTCCCATTGACTAATATTTTTCAAGATGGTTAAAACCACCAGCCAGTTATTCTTTTAACCACATTACCCTCTGGTAAACTAACATAGCTATGGAAAATCACCTTTTTCATGGGTAAATCAACTATTTTTATGGCCATTTTCAATAGCTATTTGACATAACCAGAGGGTAAACCTCCATTTTCCTATGGTTTTCCTATGGTTTTTAACCAATACCCAGTTGTCAGGTGAGCGGGATCCCCGCGTCCCGTCCCAGGCAGATCTGCATGGCCCGGAGTTCTCGATGTTTGGGGTCTCAGAGGCTGCAGCAACGATGGCTTCGGACCTGAAAATCGCCATGTTTTCATAGGGATAACGATGAGAACCCATGAAAATCCGATGCGGAATTTGGGGTGTATTTTCAGAGAAACCCACAATTTTCGGTGACTTTTATCATGAATGATGGTTTATCCAATCACAAAATGATGATTTATTCAATAGATACTGACATTTTACTAAGCGTATTATGCAAGGGTTTGACAATGAAACACGGATACCGGATAACGAGTGATAAAGACGTTTTCCATCTTCAAAATCATTTTCTCCGTAAGAATTGACATCGTGGGTTGTCCCACATTTTGAGGTAAACCCATGCTAACTGCCAAATCATATCCGATTGTATGCCACTATACATATATTATATATACAATGTGGGGCCCCCAAGATAGCTAAGTTGGTGAACATAACTCCAATAACTATGGTTTATGGTACTTATAACTATAGTTAATGGGGTTTATAAAATTTTATAAACCAACAAACATCACTGGGAATGGGAGAATCCACTATAACTGGCCATTTTCAATAGCTATGTAACAAATTACCGGAGGGTAAATTCCTTACTTGATCCTCCATTGTATTTGATTTTCATGTGTTATTTTCCATTGAAGAAATTCCCAAGTTGACCAAACGGTTAGTTCTTTAGCACTGTATCCCTTGGTTGCCTTGGTTGGTCCCACGAAAAACTGGTCGGTCAACACGCCGGTAATCTTGTGGGTTAAATTCCCACTTGTGGATTCCCTTCTTACCCCACAATATCCCCGATGATATTACATGATATCCCATGACATACCCTGAAATTCCGAGTAGTCCCTCATTACTTCCCATCACTTCCCATGAATTTCCATTCATTCCCATTTTTTCCACCAAAACTTCCTCAATTCCCATTTATTTCCCAGAAGTTCTACAGTAAGTGAGAGCTAATAATCCAAGACAAATAATGATCGAATTCCAATTGTATTAGAACTACAGTAATGTTCCATTTGTACCAATAATCCAATGTTGGGTATACAATGGATATATCCCAGTTACTAGTTGACTACTTATAATAGAATGGGCCATGGGATTAGTTCGCTGATGGCCCATCTCTAATATCTTAATATACGTATTCATAACTAATCCATGGCCCATCATCCCAATATAGCCTCTCATTATCAGTTCATGCAGTATTTGTTTCTTATTGTTTGCGAATATAACTTCTGATAATATCATTAAAGTGGGCAAATAGTAATGATTCACTGATATTATTATTAATAGCCTGATTATCACACTTATGATATTAAATATAGTCAGTAAACAAATACCATTATCGTAGCCTCTCATTATCAAAAGTATGTACTAATAATCCAATAATAATAGGGGATTACTATTAATATATCACTAGTATCCCCCACTTGTAACAGTTAGAATTCCCATATTCATATTATCATATGCATTATTTTGGATTATAATGCCTTCTGGTTTATATATATATACACATGACTAACATGATCATTATCAGTTTGTCAACTATTAAAATTATAGTTACTATTAATAATTATTGTTGTTATAGTTATTGTTACCATAATTATTGTTATCATATATAGAATGATATCTAAGTGAAAAATGGATCATTGATACTGTGGATGGTTGCGAAATCCTGCGCCACCAAAAGGATTGTTGAACCCCATCCAAAATAATGGGATGTTTACCACCTATCAACTGGTGATTCGGATTTCTTCCATCCACCGTATGTTTATATATATAGATATGTATGTTATATCCACATTACAATTATTGTTACTATAATTATTGTTGTTATTTATTGATATCCAAGTGAAAAATGGATCATTGATACTGTGGATGGTTGCGAAATCCTGCACCACCACCACTTTGGATGGTTGAAAACCTACAAATAATGGGATCACCCTTTTTTTTGATCCAACTTTTGCCCAGGTGGCTCCACAAGACTTTCCCCCAGCACTGTCCGCGCCCGGACCTCCCAGCGCTTTCGTCGGCGTCGGCGTCGGCGCGTGCGGAGTTTCAGGCGACTGCGCAGGCAGGAGATTTTTCTGGAGTTCTCCTAAGAAATGGTGATCAAAATATGGGATTTTACTGAGTTTACCAACAAACATGGGGAATCAACCAACATCAATGGGGATTTAATATGATTTAAGCAACAAAAGAATGGATTTGCAAGGGAGGTTTCCGAGAATGGTGTGTGTTGATCTGAGACTCAACAAACATGGGGATCGAATCAAGAAAAATATGGTATATATAATGGGATATAATGTTATATGATACCATCTGGTAAATTAACATAGACCCTGGCAGATAGGGGTTGGAAGATTAGTCTCCATTAAAACTAGGCTATTTTCAGGGTCTATGTTAATTTACCAGAGGATATCATGTATTTTCTGAAATGGCTGCGAAATAATCTGGGATACCCGGATATGGCTTTTCAAACGAGGCAATGGAACGCCCATCACTGATGACTTTCCAATGAAATTCTTCATCATGGGGATCATTTGGGGATGGTCCATAATCTCATGAGGATTTAAGCCACAAGATAGTGCTACAATGGGATACAAGGAGGACATTTTTTGGGGGATATGAAAGTTTGATCAAAACACGGGAGGATTAATCGATTTTTGTGAGGTTTCCAGGTTTCCAGCCACATCATCTGGGTGTGTCCGGATAATTTTCTTGGATATACACTATTTCAGACACACCCAATTTTTTAAATCCAGTTGATGCATTTTTTGAGTGACGATTGCGAGCTTTATTGAGTTCACCAAAAAAATGTTTCCTGAAGATGGGGACAGCCCACAGTGGCAAATCTTATTTGGGCGACGTGACGGTTGCGACAAGCTCAAATGTAACTATGCACCCTCCGGGAATCAAACATGGCAATCGGATATCCACCGTTTGTAGATGATTTTACCAAGAACTCCTTCATTTAGTTCAAGGACTTTCCATGCAACCATGTTTGATTGCCGGAGGGTACATCACATTAAATCACCATTAAATCCCATTATACCTATTGATGTAATGGTGATGTGATAAAAATATTAAAAAATCCCCATTAATAATGGATGTTATGTAATTGATCACCATTAAACCCCTATTAAAATTCACTTGATGATCACACATCTTCATCTCATACCAAGTTGAGGAGAGAACACACTCTCGGGTGGCTTGGATGATGACAGAGATGGCAGCGGCTTAGGGCATAGGTACGTAGTTTACCACATCATCAGTAGAAACCTAGCGTAGTAACTTAGGCTGCTTCTATCTTGTCTATATAGTAACTACTGTATCAGTTACTAACATTTAATAACATATCAATTAATTAGTTGTGACTTAGGCTGATGATCTCTTATAATTACCCTCTGCTAATCGAACAAAGCTTTGGAACATGGCCCATTTGTACATGATTTACCACAGGGATCCACAGGGTATATTCTCATAATTGTCCATTGATGTTTCCATCTACTAAATCCTATGTTTAATAAATTAAATATAAATTCATTTCTCCCATTCTTATCCCATTATTAACATCCCCTAGCAAACCAATATCAGATCCAGCCTTGGTCGCCGTCGCGTCAGGTCGGATCCTTATTCGAATGGTGACGACAATTCACGTGCCAAGCATTCAACTCGGCTTGGCAGTTCCATATCTTCAAAGAGATTGATGTGGTTGGTGGTTTCAAATACAACTAACTAGTGGTAAAGTAAAAGGTGGACAAGTATGGAAAAGTAAACTCCAACTAAAGTTTTGGATTCACCTTCTGCCAAAACGATGGAAAAATCACATCCAACTATATGGAATAATGATCAATTACTTTTCGAACCGTTTTGGTGTCTGGATATTATTCTTCGTACTTGGGATGGTTTGAACCCAATTTGAAACCACCAATCAATAGGCTGTTATCCGAACATCTCAAGCTTTGGATCCACTTTGCCACCAAGATAACCCCAAAAAGAACATATATATATATATATGATTATATATATATATATATGTATATTATATATATATATTTATTATATATATATATATGTATATGTTACATATATAGAGATAGAGATAATGATGTCAGTAGTAATGGTTGACATGGATTTCTAATTATAATGTCAAATTTTTGGCTCTGTGCTCTCTCGTTGTGGATGGCCGTTGAGTCATACTGCACTGCTTGTGAAAATTCAGATCGGGGTCTACACATCGAACAGCAGCGAATTCACGAGAATTTTTTTCGTTCCTGCAAATTAACATAGCCATAGGATCCATGGTGCTGCTATATATGGTAACATAGATCCCATCAATATACCCCATTCATGTTAGCATATATACCAGCACCATCTCGACATACATGGATCCTATGGGATATGGAAAATCCATTTGTTCTAGATCATATTTTCCTTGGGAATTGGTCTTCCACATCTACATGAAAATATCTTAATCAATCCAACGGGTTTTTTTGGTGATCTTCGGTCACAACTTCCATGGTGGTTTTGATCCACAGCCTGAGACGATTCCATGTTGATCCACAAACGTTGCGAAGAGACAAAAAGGTTCCACCGGGTCGCTGCCTATTTCGAGGGGCGGCATCCAGTTGGTTCCAGCTGTCCTATTTCGATGACCAGTTGATAGATGGTCAATGATACTAATGTTTTTTTTTCGCCTGGTTCGCTCAGTGGTTTGCAGATGGCGATTGTTTGAAGTCCGAAATACTTGACCCATCCCTGAAAGCCACCGAAGTTGAGCTGTAACTTTGATCTATTTTGCAGGAAATGGAACCAAATTTGGGGATTTTAAGTTTCAACATTGAAAACCCAGGCCTTGCTATGTAATATCTATATATATAGACTATGATTATCACTATTGTATAGACTTGTATTATCTTGTATTATTACCATTGTTATTATCATTATCAGATCATTTGTTATTTAGCACTAAAACATACGCTAAAACCTGAATCCCCTATCTGAATCGTTGCTGTGCCCAGAGATCCCCTGTTTTGGATAACCACCTTCATGATGGGATTGAACCATTTCATCGGTTTTGCTATGTTTTAATGATGATTTTTCATGCGATAAGTGCTAAATTTCCAGGGATTTAGCAAATAAAACTGGGATGGAATATCATCATAGGTAGAGTTTCCCAATCAAAACCTATGAATTTCCGATTTCAAAACTATCAACACCTTCCAAAACCTCCCAATTTCCCCTCCAACGGAGCCCCCGAGCCAACGAGCCGAAGCTCTGCGCTTCAGTTTGGGTTTGGCACTTCCAGCCCCACGGAGACCAGGGAAGAAGGTGCGACAGAGCCTCCAGTCACGGCATGGTTGGGAAATCCCCGAAATAGATTGACACACACAAGCATATATATATATATAGATTATATTATGTATAATACGCATATACATACACAAACCATATGTATATATATATATGTATATATATATTTACATATATATATATGTAAATATATATATATATGTATATATATATGTATATATACACATAAATGGGACAGACATGGAATTAAAAGGAATTAAAATGGAGGCGAAGTATGATGTACCCTCTGGTAACTTAGCATAGCTATGACACATTCCCGTTCTTGGACGATTATACCTGTGAAACAAGTTGATTTTCCATAGCTATAATCTAGCAAACTGTTCATTTGCCAGCAGGGAACCAACACTGTGTAGACCCTTCAGCATGGCTCGTTGCGTCGGCCAGACCACCTTCACGAAAGCATTGTCCGGGCTGTTGGTGGCCAAAAACATGAAGGTGCACGACCCCAGCATACAAGGTGGTGTCTCTTAGTTAGCTAAGTTGGTTTATAACTATAACAGCTCTGGTTTATGGTAGATACATATATATATAGTTCATGGGCTTATAAACCAACAAACATCACTGGGGGCCTGACCTTGCAGGAACCGAATAGGTGGGTAGAATGGGCTGGATGCTCTTGCAGGAAGTTCAGCAACCATAAATGGTCAATATGAGAATCATTGAGAATCCCTTCCCGCGATCATATGCGCCATGGTCAAAACTTGGAGTTTGGAGTTTTTTTTGGCCTATTTTGGAGGATGGTCATCAATCCCTGAATGCGGATTTATATAGATGACCATCAGGGATTATAAATATTTATATCAGGGATTATGGGTATATATTATCCATGGAGGATGGTCTTCAATCCTGAATCATTTATATAGCCATTATAAAGATTCCCAATATTTTCCATGGATGACCATACCCAATCCCATTAATCATCATTAATCCCATGAATCCCATGGCACATGAAATAGCCAAAATTGGACTCAACAAAAATCATGGATCCAGTACAAAAAACCCAGGTTTAAAGGAGCTATATGTGATATATATATATGTGATATTTGTAACCTTTTGGGTTTCCGAATGTGTCATGAATTGTGTGGTGTTTTTTCTACGTATCAACCATCCATGAATAAACCATGACCATGTGAGTCTGAGCCCCCCCGTAGACATCATAGTTAATCTCTGACTCTAGATTAGATCTACAGAATGTGTAACCACTATATGTATGGATATATATACATACATATATATATCGTTGTTTTCTAGTATATATATGTATATATATGTATATATATACATGTACAATGGCTAAGGAAAGTAAGTATAGATATATTATATCTGGTATATCTAACAATATCTAAATCTATGTTTGCTATATCTGGTATGAAAATAATGAAAATAGTAAGTTTCCCTACTTATGTCTCTATATCTATCAATCTCTGCTTTTTTTCTAGTCGATTTTTCGTCTCTGAGGCCACAGGTGCCTTGGCACAGGCCAGCGACAGCTCGCGCGCGGTATCGTGTATCCCCCAATGGAAGTGCCTGGGAAATCCCCAATATGTGGACAAAATCGAGGGAAAAACAGCATAAATGGCTTGGAATTCCCAACTTTACCATGGGAAACGGTGGAAAAACATCTCGGAAACTATGGGAAACCATGAGAACATACCGTATAAATGCAGGTTTATAGCTTGCTGGGATCAGAAAAACAGTGGATTTTCCAGCAAGGTTTCGGCCGAGAGCTACGGAACATATTTGGAAACTATGGGAATTCATCATGTAGCAAAGGAGGTTTTTTCATGGGAATATCATCGAGGTAAATCGCTGTGTGAATTTTCCACTATGGAACTGATTGAAGATATCCAACTTTTGTGAGTATCTCTGGACGCTTGGCAAACATGGGGTGAATCAACTGGGACTTTGAAGCTTTTTATTGGGATAGATAGGAGATCTGGGATGAGGATATTTCATGGTGGCCCAGTTCTGGGATGCGAAGTTGGAAGAAAGTTCACTTAGCTGTTGACTGAATGGGACTGGGGATGAAACAACTGGTTCGTCAGGTGAAACGAGACCAGCAAGCATAAGTAGGCGACACTGTCCCACATGTAAAATGGATGAAAATGGGTAGACCATCGGAATAACCATTGGTATCCACTGGTAAACTAACAAAGTTATGGACAATGCCGCATGGGCCGCGCACCCGAAATGGTCTCGCCCGGTGATGAAAACAAGCTTATGAATGAAAGAATTCATTCATGGTTCAACGCTACAGGATGGGGCACCATAGTTACCTAAGTTGTTTTATAACTATAATAACAATAGTGTATGATACTTATAACTATATTTAGATGGGGTTATAAACCAACAAACAAAACTGGGGGGGGCCCATCCTGTAGAAACCGTCCAAACTTCTGGGTTTTGTTGGTACCTAACTAGTTGTGCAACTGAGTCGCGGGCATTGACCAGATGGTTGAAGCCTGGTTTTCCTATGGTTTCCTGTATATTTTAGCAACAAAACCTATCCGTGGAACACCCTACTGATCCAGTTTTTGATGGTTCAAGCAGTCAAATACATGTTATTCCCTAGCAAAACCCACCCTGCCAACCAAATCTTTCAAAATTTACAGAACCAATCCAATGAAACATGAGTATGTTTAAGGTTTCTCTATGTAAATGTCATATCAAACTATAGCAGCTACATATTCATATAGTCAGTCGGTTTCGCAATGATCAATTCTCTATCGTATCGTGCCGATCGTATCCCATTCCCTGATCGTATTTAACACACCCATTGTATGGTCCCAAATACGTGGTTTCATCCCCTACTAAACCATGACGTCGTGGGGGTGTGTTGTGTGTGTTGTTTTGAACCGGAGATGGGATGATGAGCTAATAAACCATTATGAACCACGATAAAAAACATGCCCTTACTTAACCTTTATGTAATGCACAATTAATCATGAGTAACCATTAACCATAACTATAAGACATAACCATATCCATAGCCATTGACCATTTCAAAACTGAGGTATAGAGATCCTAAACCATGCTTTTCCCCATTGTTAACCACTATTAACCATAGTTTATAAACATCACCACTATTAATCACTATTGACCATAGTTTATTATTACATCACCACTTTTTTCACCACTATTATCTTAAACCATCATGTATGTAGTTATGGTTATACATTAATCACTATTATCTTAAACCATCATGTTAGTATTACCATCATGTTTTTACACCACTAACCATCATGTTAATACGGTAATGGTTATAATTATACAATGTGGGGCCCCGAAGATAGCTAAGTTGGTTTATAACTCCAATAACTATGGTTTATGGTACTTATAACTATAGTTAATGGGGTTTATAAACCAACAAACATCACTGGGGGCCCCCACATTTTTATCGTTTTTCTTAGTCAGATCAGCCAAGAAATCACCACCTTTTTTCATCTCCAGGCCACAGCCGGGGACCTCCTTCCCGAACGCGGTTTTCTGGGCCGTGTCTCGACGACGAGAGAAAACTCTCCAGGAAACATACCCGGCCTGGTAAAATAGTGGATTATAGTGGATTTACCCATTAAAAATGGTGATTTTCCATAGTTATGTTAGTTTGTCAGAGGATAATTTATTTGTATAAATACAACAGATACCCTCTGGTAAACGTTTACATAACGAACTGGACAATCACCATGCTATTAATGGGAAAACTCACTATTTTGACTGGGCCATTTTCAATAGGTATGTAACAAATTACCAGAGGGTATGGGAGTTTCTTAAAATGGGGTATCCCCAAGTCAACTGCAGGTTGTTTCAATACTAAATATGGTCAAATTTGGATCTGGTGTAGCCCCATTTTAGGACACCCCCAAAATGGAAAACCTCCTGGAATGGAGGTACCCCAATAAATCGCTGGATGTTTTTTTTTTTGCTGGAAAATCCTACTGAAATGGATGAGATTTGGGGGTACCCCTATTTTAGGACACCCCCATATGATGTGAATGATGGGTTATAATTTTCTAATAGTTATGATGGTTAATGGTGTAAAAATATGATTAGCAATAATATGATGGTTTATAATATGATGGTTTATGATAATATGTAACAACATATAATATAATGATGGAACATCTTAGTTTTTAGCAATGTCATGAAATCTATAAACTGCGCTTATATGTTGGTTCATCCATGTTTGTCCCATAAGAATGAGGTAAATTTGAGGGGATGGTGGATCCTATTGCTGTTTACTAACTTGTTTGGGGGATATCATGGGGATAACGGAGAACTGGCTATTAAATATTACATATATAAGGAGATATACCTGAGAAAACCGCCCCTGGATGGATAGTGATGGAAAAAACTTGTGGCCCCTCCAACAAAATCAAGATATGTTGGTGAAGATAAGTTGGGTGTCAGTGTATATATATATAGTTAATACATACCAACTAATGTATCAATGTATAACGATAGATAATTAACTACGATTTACGCAAAATATAAATGTAGTTAATAGGATGTTATATAATGGATAGTCAATGGATAGTTAATGGGGTGTCGGTGTATAAACCAATTGATTGCTGAAGGGCCGACCTTATGTACAAATGGGAAACTCCATTTCTAAACTGGTGGATCTCGTGGTAAATTCTGGTAAAGTACATTTTTCTCAGGAAAGTCTTTGGGGGGATGAACTAGCTCCTGGTGATGAATCACGTCTTATTTTTTCAAATTCAAAGAAACAAACGTAACCTTTGGGGGATACTTTTGGACAATTTTAAGCCCCTGAAAACCACAGATGTTGGCTATTGCCATGATTATCATTGGGGTTGGCAAGAAAGCGAACCAGGTTATCAAGTAGTAACTAGTATGAAACTTGGCCACCCAACTTCGACCCATAGACACTTCGTTCGATCCTGATGCCATGGCAGATTTCAAGCGATGGGACTAGCAATGGATGTCCCAGCAAGAACATCCAAACTCTTCAAGAGGGGAGAATCGTTACACCAGCAATCATCGATACCAGCCATGTTTTTTGATGGTTGCTGGGATATATAAATGATATAATTTAATAGCTATTAACATAGCCATCATTTCTGGTTTCTGGTTAATAAATGGCTATTTAATAACCATCATTACCCTTTGGTAAACGTTTACATAGCTATGGACAGATCCACCATTTATAGCTGGGTAAATCAACTATAAATGGTCATTTTCAATAGCTATTTTGACATAACCAGAGGGTAAGACATGAAAGTTGAAGGTGTAAACAGCCATCATCAACCATCAGTTGACTCCGAGGTTGTGGTGACTGGTGTTTGATCGGCTTGGTGAACTGTCAGGGCAGTCCAAAGTCACTGGGCTTCCGAAAGACTGGGTGGCGACTTCTCGGTTGAACCAGGGCGACTTCTCGTCCACAAGTGGGGATGGGTCAAATCTTATGGGACCATAATTGGGGGATGAACAGATTATCCATTTATCAGCTATTTTGATGTTAACCCATGTACTGGGGGGTGTCAAACAGTGAATTTGGGTCCAAAGTTAATGGGTTTAGCAAAGCGGAGGTGATTTTTTTGATGGGACAGCTTGGAGTCCCCATGTTAAGTCGCTGGTTTATGTTCACCTATCCATAGATGTACCCACCAGAAATCCAACTCTAAGCTTGCTTACTTGCAGTAGATCCCAGAATTAGTTGAAACAACGAAATATAGGACCCCGAAAACATGCTGGTCAAAACCATGGGTTCAACCGTATACAAACAATTCAGCTACGATGAACAGTTATCAACAGCTATAAATCACCCAAAAATGATGAAAATCCCCCATCTTTGATTAAACTTGATGAAATCACCATTTTCCACCAATAGACGAGCCAGAGCTTGTCGGGCTCAGGGGGCTCCCCAAGGGGCTCCAACGGCTGGCGCCTGAGGGTGGCTGGCCCGCTGGCTGTGATGATCGCGCAGGAAATGCATCTGGGACCGCAGAGGGAGAAGTCGACGCGGCGTCGTAACGCCATCGGTCAACAAAGGTGGCGTAGACGGGCCGAAACATGTTTTTTTTCTCCCATAGAAGGGGTCATCCACCCATTAGTGGGGTTTAATGCACCCAAGAAAAGTACACAGTAAGATGATCTTCCAATTAACGGAGGTTTCCAAAGTCGCGGGGGTACCCCAAATCGTCCAAGTCATTAGACAAGGACTTAGTATTGAAATACTCATGGTGACTTGGGGATCCCCCATTTCAAGAAACCTTCATGCACATGTAGACATATGCACTAGATATTATGTGATATATGATATGTTATAGGTATATGATCTATATACGCGTGCGTGTACACAATATATGTATATATCTATATAGTTATCCTGGAGTAAATCAAAAAATCCTCACCAAAATATGTATATCTGTGAAAATCTCATATTCTATCTACTTCAGGATCTATATGGTGTATACATGCCTAGAACTTCAAATGAACACAAATTTCCGCGCTGTTTTGCGTGGTTGACCCATCACCCATAGGATCCATGGTGCTGGTTTGCTAACATGACTGGGGTATATTGATGGGATCTATGGCAGCACCGTGAATGGATCCCTTGGGGTCATATCTCATGGAATCACAGAAAGCCTCGTTCTGAACTTGGAGGATCATACCACTGAGTAACTGGTTGGTAGTCCTGGTTAGTAGGTTCTCGAGTCGTTAGTAGCTTCTAGAAATGGGTGAACTACATCAATAACTATAGTAATTATACTATAGTTATATATAGTTATTAAATTTATTAATCACTTATCACTGATATCACTGATATCACCAACTAACTCTAGTTATGAATCACTAACTTCCGAAATGATCCGAAATGAACGGGGTTGGAGATCAAAATCCCGAGGCCCAAGGCCTTGTTTCAGAGTCCCAGTTTCGTGGAGAATGATCCAGTGACCTGGCGGTTACCGGGTATTTGAACCAGCAAAAATGAGGGGATTTTTAACATAAAATAAATATATATATAATTATATATATAATATTCATGTTAAATAGGGTACATTAACATAAATATATTATGGTATGATAATAGTGCAATAAAAATTAGGGGATTATAATTGCTAACCAGATTCTTAGAGGGCACTTCTCGAGGTGGATTATAACCCCAATCGTGAAGGCGTGAAGTTAAAATATGTTAAAATCCCAATCGATCTACTTACTGGTGCTAAACGCAGGGAATTTTCGGGAATGATCCATAATCACTAGTAATAATCATCCCAGCAACCCCCAGCAACCCATCCAGCAACCCTACGTTTAGCCCCAGTATGTCTAGAATCGCAGGCTTGCTCCCCACCAGATACGCGGAGAATTCTGCAAATCAAGTGGCAAGACCATACGTTTCCCCATGGGGGATTTCCAAGCTAGCCACGTTGCATGCCGGCTGCAATGTGGGGCCCCCTATAGTCATAAGTTGGTCATAAGTTGGTCAATCCCATCAACTGTCATAAGTTTCATCAACATTCATAAACCATACCCGGCCTGGTAAACATACAAAAAGCTATTGAACATGGCCATAGATATAGTTGATTTATCCATTATATAAAAATGATGATTTTCCATAGTTATGTGGCTGTTTACCAGAGGGTACTTATTGGAGTTATGTTCACCAACTTAGCTATCATACATCTATAACATTGGCTAAATAAGCCAGGGTAATTGTGGTCAACGGACCCAGCTTATTGCGAATCTTTGCCCGGCCCCAAGGGGTGATACTTTGGCATCACCTTTCTAAAGTCGGTAGAGCTACACATCAGCCTGTAGAACACTGTAGAAGACATTGACAGCGAGTTGCAAGTTACAAGAGTTTCTTCAAACATTGATAGCACTCTATGAGTAATATGCATACATACTGTAGTCTACTGTAATATACTGTGTGTATATATATATATACACAGAAATACATATCTATATAATGATGTGTGCATATACATACAAGTACAAACACACTCTTGTCCAACATGTTTTTCTTTCTGAAATTGTGGTTATTCCAAATGCAATGGGGCATTATCATGATCATCATGATCATCATGATCATCATGACCATCATGACCATCATGACCATCATGACCATCATGACCATCATGACCATCATGACCATCATGACCATCATGACCATCATGACCATCATGACCATCATGACCATCATGACCATCATGGCCATCATGACCACCACCACCACCACCACCACCATCATCATCATCATCATCATCATCGTCATATATATATATATATATCATACGGATAATGATGGTAATCTATCATGATAATAGATAATGACAATCATGATTAACTAGTAATGATAATAAACATCATCATAATCGTACTTTTCCCCTAACATCGCCAGAGTTCTGCTTCACAAATGCCCCAAATAGAGGGAGGGACCCATGGTATATCGATGGGGTTGAAGTCCCATGCTTATCCTTGACATTGCCATAAATATCATTCGAATATCTATAAAAATAAAGAAATTCATCATTCATATGATAAAACTTCATTAACTGGATATTAATCCATCCAGTCCATTAGGTACATCCTTAGCTTTTTTACATTTCTGGATGACTGTCATCCTGGATACCAAGGCAGCCGGCCTCACGGAAGCATTTGGCAAGGCCTGGTTCTTTGCCTCCAATTGAGGTTCCTGAAATGGCCATTGATTTTCTATACGTATATATGTATATATATATACATGTATATATGATCATCCACCCCAAAAAAGAAAAGTACATCAACGTTTGATGAGTGAAGGTTTACTTTTCAATCTTTTTGGGGTTTACTATGTATATATATAAATGATATTATATATGTATATATGTATATATGTATATATGTATATATGTATATATGTATATATGTATATATGTATATATGTATATATATGGGTATATGTATATATGTATATATGTATATATGTATATATATGTATATATGTATATATATGTATATATGTATATATATGTATATATGTATATATATATGTATATATGTATATATATGGGTATATGTATATATGTATATATGTATATATGTATATATGTATATATATGTATATATGTATATATGTATATATGTATATATGTATATATGTATATATGTATATATGTATATATGTATATATGCAAATGTGTATATATGTATATATGTATATATGTACATATGTATATATGTACATATGTATATATGTATATATGTATATATGCATATATGTACATATGTATATATGTATATATGTATATATGTATATATGTATATATGTATATATGTATATATGTATATATGCAAATGTGTATATATGTATATATGTATATATGTATATATGTATATATGTATATATGTATATGTATATATATATATATAAATAAATATATTATATATTATATGTGATTTCTTTTCAATATGGGAAGTTTTCGAAACAAATCAGCAATTCGTCCTCGTTCGCTGAAGCGAGGTGCATGTCCTGAGTGCCCAGGAGTTAGACGTGACTTTGACAGGCGGACGCAGGGAGAGTATGGAAACCATTGTTATCCTGGTGAAATCGTGGTGATGAATGGTGATCTATATGGTGATTATTAATATTAGTTATATGGTGATTGAATGGGAAACCCTTTAATATGGAAACCATTGATCCATTTTTATATGGTTTAATGGTGATTGAGCTATCAAATGGTGATGAATGGTGATTTAATGGCGAAAAATGGGACTGAAAAAGAGATTTTGTCATGGGATTTAGTGGAATTGAACCTCCGAGAATGGGCGATTTAATGGTGATTTAATGGGATTTAATGGTGATATATCCATGTTTCATGATGTTTTATGGGATTTTAACGGATTTAATGGGATTTAATGGGATTTGGTGGTGATGGTATAATGCTTGGCAACACATGATTTGGATTAATATGATTAATCACCATTATTTTTTATCACCTGGCACTTTTTTTTAAAATGTTTTTCAGTGTCAATCCAACCCCCAAAAATATTGAACACCATTATAAACCACCATTTTAGTGGAACACCCACCACATGGACCTCAATTTTGAGTAGATTCAATCCATCCCACCAGTTCCCAGCGAAAAAATCCTCCATTTCTTAGGGGATGTTCCAGCATCGAGCTGATGACACCCTTGGGAATCCCTTTAAAAAACCTTTGAATGATTATGTTGTATTGAGATTGGGATATAATTATATCATATTGTTGGTGAGTTATATCTCATTATATTATATTATTATATCCCATTATATTCCATAAACTATTGATTGGTTTCCCTATGTTAAATATAGAGCCCATGATGAAACCAGGATTAAACCACCATTTTCCATAACTATGTTCCTTTACCAAAGGGTTTTTCTATGTTTTTCTCACCCATTTTTACAGCCACAGACGCCGCCACCAATCACCATGAATCTGGCACTTGAATCGCAGGTGCATCCACGACTGTCCCGCTGATGAACGGGAAGTGCGACCCTTGGAGGGATGTGCGGCTGGTGTTTTTCTTTTTTTTCCCGCGGAATGCCCCAAGTTCTGAAAGGTGCCTTTCTTGGAAGAATCATGGGAAACTATCCATTCATGTATTCATGTGGGATTAGAATGGAAAAAAGGTGTGTATGTATATATATATACATATCTATATATATACTTATATATATATTATATGCATATATATATATATATGTGATGGGTATATAATGGTATAATATAATGGGGTAAAATTAATGGATGATGATACCCTGGGGTTTCATCTAACATCGGATATAACATGATATAGCCAACGACCACAATATGACAATATGTCATAGGGATATGCCAAAAACAGTCAACTCAGTAAACCATCCAAATAAACCAGTTCTTGTTCCAATTGTTGCACCAGCAATCCCCAAATTGATGGGTAGATCCCCCAATTGTCATCTCCGTCATTGTCTCAGATACTAGATGTCATTAGAGATGATTTGTAGATATTTGTAGTAAACTTCATCATTTTTAATGATTGAACATGGTGCACTGGTGCAACTCCTCATTTTCTTGATAAAACCACCATCTGACTAATCACAATAAACCCTAGTCTTATGAGTTGTAAAGAAACTTAGCTGACGTAGGACATAGGATTTCAGTAAACTGATTTCTAGTACTGTGAATTATATTGGATGATTTCAAGTAAAAGCATCATTTTTATTGGTGACACCACCATGGTATATACCAATGTAGGGGGTTTTCTAAAAGGGGGATCCCCAGTCGTCACCTGCAGGTTGTTTCAATATTAAGTCTTGGTCTAATGACTTTGATGATTTGCGGGTACCCCCATTTTAGGAAACCACCATTTTACACCAATTCATACCATTGGTTCATTCAGGTCATTCAGGTAAGGAACAATCGGGATATTGTATAATTATAATGAAGAATAGGGATATTTCCGTATTATTTTACCTTAATGGATATACTTGGTAAAAGAATATCAGGATCATCACTATCATCACTATCCCTAGTGTTCATGACGAATCATTCTGATTTCTTCATGATTTCCACAAATGCCATTATTATATTGGTATATATCCAATTTATACCCCATAGTTTAGATTCTATGATGATTGATTATATCTAACATAGAATGTCACGATTTAACCAACGTATAACCATATCTAGTAGACCATGGTGGTGTATACAATATATGTTAACATGTAAATGTATACAACATGTATAATCATATCTAGTAATCCTTTGGTGGTGTACATCCATGGTGGTGTATACGTATCTATACATTTATCCTCTGGTAAACCAAGAATTTGCTATTGAAAATGGCCATACAAAGTTCGTTGATTTACATATTAACAATGGTGGATCTTTCCAGTTCGCAACATGTCACCAGAGGGTAAGCAGCAGTAACAACCATCAACCATCCCCCAGCCACCATTTTTATAGGTAGTATAGTATAAACCATTCCCAGTCATGGGTGGTTTGTGATATTGCTTTACCATGTTTTACCCACATTATACACATTTATGCATTTAACCATGTGGCGAAAAGCCATGGTATAATGTTATAAGCATATGTATATATATATATATGTATGTGTATATATATATATATACATAGATGTATATAATCCCACATGAATATAATATTGTTTATAACCATGGTAAACCCAACAAACCCATCCAATGACTTCTTCGGCGACGACCCGTTCTCAGGGAGATTTGGGTAGCCCATGTGGGCGATTGTCGCTGTGTCATGGGCGTGGCTTGGCCGTTGAAAAAAACGTGACGTTGGTTGAGATCTGTAGGAATACCCTGGTCATTTTATGGGACTTGATGGGATTTTATTTGGATTAGACCGGATTTGGTGGGATTTAAGGGAAAATTTATCGGACTTCATGGGATTTCATTGGATGTTATTGGGATTTTATGGGATATAGTGGCAACAATTAAAGATGGCTAGCTGGAAGATGCCCTATGGCCATGTAGGTTTTAATCGGAGGTTACAAACCAACTTACTAGGGGGCCTCACATTGTAGGAACTTAGCAACCCCAAGAATATGATGGGCATATTATGGGGACGATCAATTGTGATGGTGATGCAGTGAAAGTGAATACTATGTATATACATGTATATGTATAGATATGACAAAGAACAGTGGGGATTATATCGGATATACAAGTCATAGATAGAAACATTTGACACCTGGAGATGTGATGTAAATATCATCTATACCATCCTGGAAACACTCTTTCATTTTCATCCCAGCGCTAAGGGCCAAACGACAGCTTTCTTTCAGAGTTCATCAACCATAAATTCAACATCTTCAGATGGGCACTCCATCTAAAGCCTTTCTTCTGCAACCTGAACTATGGCGGGCCCCTACATGACCTTCTTACATGGCCAGTTTATTGTGGACCCAATTGGAGGTTTCCTAAAATGGGGGTACCCAAAAATGGATGGTTTCTACTGGAAAATCACCCCAAAAATGGATGATTGGGGTACCCCCTTGACTTTGGACACCAATGTGATGAACTACTGGTGTTTTCCATGGGTTTTTCCATGGTTTTCCATGGGTTTTCTATGGTTTTTCCATAGGAACCCCTGGGGGTTTTTCCATGGGTTTTCGCCAGATGCTTTTCCGCCTCAATAAACGCCTCAAAACGCACCCGGAGGTTCCAGATCAAAGTGGCAACACACGGAACTTCCACATCTCAGCGATTCCTCTGACGCAGGTGAGATGAGAGGGCCGGCAACAAAAATGCCAAAAATGTGGTTTATAACTCCAATAACTATGGTTTATGGTACTTATAACTATAGTTACTGGGGTTTATAAACCAACTTATAACTGGGGGGCCCCACATTGTAGGATTTTACGGAGTTTTTTTTTTTTTAAATGAGATTTAATAGGACTTGTATATGCATTTGACCATATACTAACCCCGAACATGATGGAAATTGGTAAAATGTCGTTCAATTACTGAATTCCCTGTTTCTTTTTTGTGGGTTTAGTATCAATGCTCAGAAGAATCCATGATAGTTTTCATCAATTTGTGGTACTTATTACAGTAGATCTAAGTTGTGGAATTTCCCTTAAGTGTCCTCAGGCAGGAAACTTCCGGAAAGGGGCACCCCACGTGGCTTTTCAGATGTTGAGAAAACCAAGTGGGTGATTTCCCTAACTTGATTCGGCAATATTAAAGTGGCTTCCTAAAATAGGGGTACCCAAAATCATCCACAATTACAGTTGGTTTATAACTCCAAATAACTATGGTTTATGGTACGCAAATAACTATAGTTAATGGGGTTTATAAACCAACTTATAACTGGGGGGCCCCACATTGTAGACCATTTTAGTATTGATAGCAATGATTTTAAGGGGTACCACCATTTTAGGAAACCTCCATATGACGAACCATGCACCGAGTTCTCATCGTTGCAGAATTGTATCAATATTTTACCAATCCGCTCGTGTGCCATGGTGAAAAAGAACCTTGGTTTTGAATGTCACCCTAAACTTGTGATAACTGGGTCAACCTTGGTTAGATACTTTAGTACTTTTTTTCTCTTGCTATCAATGCTACCATGGACTAACCAGCTAAAAATTTTCGATTTTTGGCAGGCATCGAAGATTCACCATGATAATGTTTGGTACCAGAATGATAAATCTAAGATTCGTGGCACACATTCAGCATGATAAAGGGTCACTTGTTTGCCATGAAACATCCTTTTTGTTTGGAATGTGTGCCACCAGTGCCACTGCAGGACCACACTTTGTCGCAGCCCAAAGAGTTTGAGAGGGTCAAGGTGAGCGGGACATGACAGGACCGGAGTTCCACCATATATATATATATATATATACATATATGTATGTATGTAATGTATGTTATGTAATGTAATGTAATGTAATGTAATGTAATGCATGTATGTATGTATTTATCTATATCTATATCCATATCCATATCTATATCTCTATTATATTTTGATACATTTTGTATTACAAGCTGCGGCCCCCGGTTATCAGTTGGTTTATAACTCCCTTGGAGAATTATGCCAGCAGCCGATAAAAACCTAGGAATCGGGGACAACATGGGACAACCGTGGGTCGCAGGCTGCCGGTGCAGATGTGCGGAAGCTAGTGCTACCGGCGAAGTTTTTATGTGCAGCATCTGGGAATATGTTTTTTCTTGGTGCAGACATGGATATATGGGATATGTATGGATATGTTACCATACAAATCTGGTTTTTGTGATGTTTTATTACGGTCTTGAATGGTTCAATGATTATAAACAATGGATGGCGGCTTTCGTCATGGGGGACCCTGAAAAGGAAATGGGGGACCCAGTCAAAAACCTCAAGAAGAACCATGTCTACTCTAAACACCAATCATTTTATGGGGATATGTCATGGGAACATAACAAACCAAATGGGGATCGTTATTTAACCGGCATGGGGATGTTATCCAGCTGTAGGGGATATGAAGGTTTTCTAAGTCGGGGGACAACTTGGTGATGATATTGGATATGCTCATGAATATATATATATATATGTCATAGTGACTTCTATACAGTAAACTTGCAAACCATCAACCATGGGCACACTTCACTATAAATGATAGGGATTTACCCGCTGGTACTTTAATATAGCTATGGAACATCTACCTTTTAGATCTTTTTAGTAGGTAAATCATCGAACTAAATGGGGACCATAATATCTCCATAGGGTTGGGTTTGATCCCCATCTTCGCTGTGAAATGCCTGGAGGCTAAGCATCATGAATATCTCCAGTCGTCCAAGGCTGCAAAGCTTAGCATGGTAGATATATGTAGATATCTAAGATGAGCCATGTATGGTTGCTGATTGAATCCCCAAGAATGAAAATTCTCTGGCAGGTTTTCCATCGGTTTTCCATAGGTTTCCATAGGTTTTCCATCCAGAAAAATGCCAGGTTTGGGACAAGACCTGCCGCATCTTCGCGGGAGACTCCGATTATCCCGGTGGGGGAGCCTGGGGCACCTGGGGCTGGTGAGAGAATTCCACCGGCTATGGAAAATCACCATGGATCCATAGGAAAACCATAGGAACACCATAGGAAAACCATAGGAACATGGAGGTTTACCCTCTGGTAAATAAACATACAAAACGCTATTGAAAATGGCCCATTTATAGTTGATTTACTTATTAAAAATGGTGATTTTCCATAGTTATGTGGCTGTTTACCAGAGGGTAGAATCCCCATTTGGATCGGGGATAGCATATCCAATATCATCACCAAGTTGTCCCCCGACTTAGAAAACCTTCATATCCCCTACAGCTGGATAACATCCCCATGCCGGTTAAATAACGATCCCCATTTGGTTTGTTATGTTCCCATGACATATCCCCATAAAATGATTGGTGTTTAGAGTAGACATGGTTCTTCTTGAAGTTTTTGACTAGACCGTCAGGGTCCCTCATTTCCTTGTTGGGTTTCCTTGGTGACCCAGGAAACCACCATCTTTATAATCATTGAATAATAGAACACCAGAGAAACTAGCATTGTATTGTAACATATCTCATGTGGAGATTTCCTAAAATAGGGGTACCCCCAAATCATCCAAGTCATGAATGGCCATTTCAGTATTGAAACCCATGGTTTTGGGAATCCACCGTTTTAAGAAATAGCCATATGGAAACCTATGGGAAAACACAAGGAGGTTGCAAAAAATAGATGATGGATGCGATTTTCCATATGGATCCATATGTATCTTGATCTACTAGAGTGCACGTGGAAATAAGAACCACAATTATAGCCATAGTGACAATACCATGATTTCAAGGATATTTTGGGAACTGGATCAGCATAATTTAAAGGACATTTTGGGTATGGGTCAATAACAAGACAAAGCTTGCTTGTGAAGAACATTCCAAAATAGAACATTATGTTTGTTTTTGGGATGTGAACATTCCGGGTACCAGAGTCTTGACCAATTCTCATGTTTGTAGTATGTCATCAAGCCATATGAGCATATCATATATGGAGTTATCCACAACTGGAGGTTATTGGGTATCATTACTAACATTACAATTACATGGTTCCTGATAGTTGCCCACGTTTTCAGTCTTCAACGTGGGAGACTTTGGCAATGCCAAGCTTTGGCCGAGAAATCATAGCAAGACTGGCTCCAAGACTCCGAAACTCATCATTATTCAATCCATACAGGATGGTGCTCCCCAGTTCTGTTTGTTGGTTTATAACCCCATCTAAATATAGTTATTGTGTATCATACACTATTGGTATTATATTTATAAACCAACTTTGCTAATGAACTGGGGCCCCATCCTGTATTGAATCGAAATTTCATCCTGTAGACACTGGAGTTACTGTAGTTTTTCGTCTTTTTTTTCGGCGTCCGGTCCAAGGTTTAGCGTTGACCAGGGGCATTGGCCACCGCTTGGGGCATACGGTGACCTGGCGCGCGTGGCAGTTTTTTTGTTTTTTATGGCGGTTAATTTATACCGGTTTATAATGGTTTATAATGGTGTATAGTGGTTCACAATGGTTTTTACGGGTCTATTCTATAAAATTTCTATATATATATATATACGGATATACTTAAAACCCCACTGACTCACAACTTACAACCCCACCTCATCTTCTCTCTGGATTAGTTTTCCACCGCACTTTTTGACTTATTTTTATTGGAAGAGCGACCCAGATACTTCACATAACCTTTCCAGTCTCGCCTGTATATGATCGGTGAAGTCTCAGTCACGTTTTCTGGGAAAGTGAGGTTGAACAAAAAAACATGGCATTCATTGGGTACCAATTTTTTGACATACCCGATATTCACCATGTGGAATTAGTAGGAATCCATATTAGGTTGTAGATATCCCGGAACAAAGCCTATTAGCAAAGCCTATTAGCAGCCCCCAAAGAGTGTGCTTTTAACCGTCAAATGACGCCGCGCCGCAACTGAGGTCGGTGTCACTCACAAACCCAGCATCAGCAAGTTGAACCGCGAGGCAGGTCATTTCCCAACAGATTATCCTCCCGTCATCAAAGGTGGCAGTGGAAAATCCCTGATAGATGATTTTCCCAGCTATAATTGTCATGTTTGATTACCAGGGGTAAGTAATGTTCTGTCACATTGACTATGCTCAAGACTCCAGAATGCACGTGATTTTGTCTGAAATCTGATGGTTTAAAACCATATTTTCCCGATTCGAATGGCCATGACTGGGGGGTAGAGGCATCATTTTCAGACAGACATATCATATTGAGTTGGTTCTGTAAATCCCGTTCATTATATACCCAGTACATACCCATGATATATATATATATATATATGCACCAGGCCCTGCCACCCCCCCCTCCCCCCCACCCCCATGGGATGGTCCCATATTACTGGGCCCCATCTGAGATTTCCCCCTCCCCCCCCTGTGGTGTGGTGGGGGGTGGCCTGTCCCCCTCCCCCCCCTGTGGTGTGGTGGGGGTGTGCACTGTTTCCCCCTCCCCCCCTGTGGTGTGGTGGGGTTGTGGTATGGTATGTGGGTATGTATGGTGTGTATGGTCGGTCTGGTAGGGCATGTTTGGAAAGTATGGTATGTTTGGTATGTATGGTAGGTATGGTATGTATGGCATGAGTGGTTGGTATTGTATGGATGGTAGGTATGGTATGTAAGTCTGTTGGGTATGGTATGTTTGATATGACAGTATGTCTGGTCTGTATGGTATGTATGGTTACTATGATGGGTATGGAATATTTCCTATGTAAGGTAGGTGTGGTATGTATGGCATGTATGTTTGCTATTGTATGTATGGTAGGTGTACGTAGGTGTGGTAATTACATTTCATATGTATGGTATGTATGGTATGTATGAAAGATATGATAGGTATGGTATGCTCGGCATCATTGACATGTATGGTAGGTACGGTATATGTTAAACACAGGTAGTGTTGTCAGAGTACACATGTAGTAAATAGGAAGTAGATACAGTAGATACATAGCACATGTATATATGACTATAGGTAGCACGTAGGTACTTTGAAGGAGTATGTGTGCTACGTAGGCCGCCTAAAAGGTAGCATGTATCTAGTAAATGCGAGGCTGGTAGTCAGAAATGCTGCAAAGACCTAGCAAATACGCAGCTGGACCTCAGAAATGCTGCCAATAGCTTGCAAATAGAAGGGAATTGGGGCTGCTACCTGGGGACCCAACCCATGGGGGGGGGGGGAGAGACGGAGGACGGGACCATATATATATACATAATATATTTATATACATAATATATATATATATATACATAATATATAATATATATATATACATAATATATATATGTATGCATATAGATATATCTATATACATTAAATTATACCCATGATGTACCCATTAAATACCAAGAATTGTGGGCTATACATCCCCATTTTCCACACACATATCTCCATGCAGCAGGAGATGCCAGCGAAGAGCTTTCTGTTGCTGGGGTGCGGCACCCGGAAAGCATGGGGATTTAGCGATTTCGCTGCCGGTAATGAAACATGGCTGGAAAATCCCCTCTGACCGGGCATGTTCATGGGAAAATCATCTATGAATGGGGAATTTTCTAACCAAAATATTGCACTTGACCAGAGAACATGTGGTAATCATAGCCCATATATGATTGGGGTATATCCTGGATATAACTGGGTCAGACATCACATGGTAAGTAGCCATTTAGTAACTGGATGCACATCCAGGTAGCTAAAAGATGCTTGGCCAGTATCATTATTTGGGCTAGTATATACAACGGGAATAATCAACAATATATATTATACCCATATATCTTTTATATTATATTAGTATATAGATATATATATATACAACGGCAACATCAATGTTTGGCCAGTAGCATTTGGCACCACTTAGGCTCCGACAGATTATGAAGCTCCAGGAATCAGACTCATTTCCCTGGTTCGACAAGTCAAATTTGCGACAATGTTGACGGCTGATGCATTGCTGAATGGAATATCTTGTATGATATTATATTTTTATCATATATATATACACATATATACTGTATATTTATCATGATTTATCTGTTTATAACTGTATACTGTATATATTATATATATACACATTATACATTTATACATTATATATATACATTATTTAGATATATTATCTAGATATACCCACTAGTTTATGCCATCACGTTTTTTCACGTTTGGATCATCCCGAGGAGTGCCGGAATCTGGGCGACCTTCTCCGAATCAGCTGCAGTGAACTGGGTCAGCAGGTGCGCTGTGCCTGGCGCTGGGCGAAAATCCTCGAAGTCATGGGGAGAAAATGGGGATATTCCATGGGATAATCTGAGATATAACTGAACTAAATGGGATATATAAATTATATTATATATATATATTATATTATATTATATTATATATATTATATATATATTATATATGTACATATGTATAATTTATATATAGATATCACTGAACTACATGGGAGATTCACCAAGTAAAGCACGAAAAATCAGCAATGAGCAATGGATTTACAATGATAGTCGATCTATTATGGTTTTAAGATGTGTCTAGCTGGGAAGATAATCGGACTACATTGATCTACATTGTTTTTTTTTTTTTTCCCGAGAGCGTCTGAGCGCAGGGTTCTTCCAATAGTGGGGGTCTGTCAAACATCTTCTCATCTTCACATCTCATCTTCACATCCTCTCATCTTCACATCTCATCTTCACATCCTCTCATCTTCACATCTCATCTTCACATCCTCTCATCTTCACATCTTTTCATCTTTACATCCTCTCATCTTCACATCCTCTCATCTTCACATCTTTTCATCTTTACATCCTCTCATCTTCACATCCTCTCATCTTCACATCTGCTCATCTTCACATCTTCTCATCTTCACATCTGCTCATCTTCACATCTGCTCATCTTCACATCTGCTCATCTTCACATCTTCTCATCTTCACATCTGCTCATCTTCACACCTGCTCATCTTCACATCTGCTCATCTTCACATCTGCTCATCTTCACATCTGCTCATCTTCACATCTTCTCTTCACATCTGCTCATCTTCACATCTGCTCATCTTCACATCTGCTCATCTTCACATCTGCTCATCTTCACACCTGCTCATCTTCACATCTGCTCATCTTCACATCTGCTGATCTTCACATCTGCTCATCTTCACATCTGCTCATCTTCACATCTGCTCATCTTCACATCTGCTCATCTTCACATCTGCTCATCTTCACACCTTCCCATCTTCACATCTTCTCATCTTCACATCTGCTCATCTTCACATCTGCTCATCTTCACACCTCCCCATCTTCACATCTTCTCATCTTCACATCTGCTCATCTTCACATCTGCTCATCTTCACATCTTCTTATCTTCACACCTGCTCACCTTCTCTCTCACGCCTTCTTTTTATCTTTCTCTCTTAAGGCCGAGGGTGGTGCCGGCGGCGAGTCACGAAACGTCAACCCCTTCGCACGAAATGAGGGTCGATCGGCAAAAACTGAGGTAAAATTGCGATTTGACTTGTGCCGGAGCAACCCTTTCGCACGAAATGAGGGTCGATCGGCAAAAACTGAGGTAAAATTGCGATTTTACTTGCCCTGGAGCAACCCTTTCGCACGAAATGAGGGTCGATCGGCAAAAACTGAGGTAAAATTGCGATTTTACTTGTCCCGGAGCAACCCTTTCGCACGAAATGAGGGTCGATCGGCAAAAGCTGAGGTAAAACTGCGATTTGACTTGTCCTGGAGCAACCTTTTCGCACGAAATGAGGGTCGATCGGCAAAAACTGAGGTAAAAGTGCGATTTTACTTGTCCCGGAGCAACCCTTTCGCACGAAATGAGGGTCGATCGGCAAAAACTGAGGTAAAAGTGCGATTTTACTTGTCCCGGAGCAACCCTTTCGCACGAAATGAGGGTCGATCGGCAAAAACTGAGGTAAAATTGCGATTTTACTTGTCCCGGAGCAACCCTTTCGCACGAAATGAGGGTCGATCGGCAAAAACTGAGGTAAAATTGCAATTTTACTTGTGCTACGGCAACCCTTTCGCACGAAATGAAGGTCGATCGGCAAAAACTGAGGTAAAATTGCGATTTGACTTGCTCCGGAGCAACCCTTTCGCAGCAAATGAGGGTCGATCGGCAAAGTGTAAAAGCGTCTGTGTGTAAAAGCGTCTGTGTGTAAAAGCGTCTGTGTGTAAAAGCGTGTCTGTGTGTAAAAGTGGCTGTGTGTAAAAGCGTCTGTGTGTCAAAGCGTCTGTGTGTCAAAGCGTCTGTGTGTAAAAGCGTCTGTGTGTACAAGTGATTGTGTGTAAAGGCTTCTGTGTGTAAAAGCGTATGCGTGTAAAAGCGTTTGTGTGTAAAAGTGTTTGTGTAAAAGTGTTTGTGTGTACAAGTGCCTGTGTGTAAAAGCGTCTATGTGTAAAAGCTTCTGTGTGTACAAGCGTTTGTGTGTAAAAGCAGCTCCTGTGTGTAAAAGGGTCTGTGTGTAAAAGTGTCTGTGTGTAAACGTGTCTGTGTGTAAAAGTGTCTGTGTAGAAGCGTCTGTGTGTAAAAGCTTCTGTATGTAAAAGCTTCTGTATGTAAAAGCTTCTGTCTGTAAAAACTTTTGTGTGTAAAAGCTTCTGTGGGTAAAAGCTTTGTGTGTAAAAGCGTCTGTGTAAAAGCGTCTGTGTGTAAAAGTGTTTGCGATGCAAACTATTGTCTTGCACTTCTCACTATTTTGTCTTGATACTCCTCTTCTCGACTGCCTATAACACAGCTTTCATATATCGTTTCTAATATTGCGTCTCCATACTAACAAGAGAAGACCCTGCTCCTCTACGCTCTCGGGCCATCCGTCGTCTAGTTTTTTCCAGCAAGCCATGTTTGATTACCATTTACATGCAGGTTCATATTTACATATATATATAGATACATACATATATGTTCAAAAAATGATGGGTGCGCTTGATTTATGTCTTTTTTCAGTTTTTTTAAATGTATGTCCTTGTTTGGAGTACTACAAGTCTACAAGTCCCTGAATCAGTCAGTTGTGTATTGACTATCTGTAGGTACCAAACAAGTAACATATCCCATAGGCATATTCCATTCCAGCGAAAAAGTACGTTTCATTTTTTGACAAACAATCTCATAGCTTGTACATTGCTCCCATCCACTAACAGTGGGTAGTGAATGTTGGTATGGAACTTAAAACGACTGGGAAGGAGGGGCCACTCTGAGGGGTTGGAGGCTATGTCTAAATTATGTGTGGATAATATGACTACAGTAGTTACTCTCTGGTTGTTTAACATAGCTATAGAAAATGACCCATTGAAATAGATGATCCATGATGATTTACTTAAAACCATGATTTTCATTGATGTTCCATAGCTACGGTAAATAACAAAGGTAACGGTAAATGGTTGTCATTTACAATATTATATCGCCGACCCACTAGTGGGTTGTCATTTCTGGGTCAATCACCATAAACCCTACTAAACTATTACAATGTGGGGCCCCCAAGATAGCTAAGTTGGTTTATAACTCCAATAACTATTATAGTTAATGGGGTTTATAAACCAACTTATAACTGGGGGGCCCCCCATTGTATGATAGCCATGATTTTCCTGAACTAAACCAACAAGTCGCGATTCCTTTCACTGGGACACCACCTTGCATGGTTTCAAAACCTCAATTTTCCGCTAAAACAGAAATTTTTCAGGGTGAAATCATGTAAAATCCCAATTTTCCATGGGTAAATCCCTATTTTCCATGGGTAAATCGCATTTGCCATGGGTAAATCCCTATTTTTCAGGGTGACTTTGCCATAGGATTGGTCACCACTGGGCGTTTCGTTTCGTGTCGCAGGACCTTCCAAGATCCCCAAGAGGCGGCGATGTCGCTGGGCACCGAAGCCTTGGGGCGATGGCAGGACGCGATGGACGCGAACGGAAATGGGTTGGTCAAACAGGGGTTATCTAACATAGACTTTATATATGTCATATATATTCCATATCCCATTACATTTCCCTATAAATGTAGATAAACATGTGGAAAATAAAAATAGCTACAACCAATGATACAAGGAACCAATGATAACATAGACCGTACAGGATGGGGGTTTCCTAAAAAAAATGGGTTTATGATGGTTTTCTATCAATGATAATAGGTTTATGATGATTTTCCCAATAATCATGGGGGTACCACCAGTTCTCATCCTTTTTAGTGGGATTTTCCAGTATAAACCATCCATTTTAGTAGGTTATCAAAATATACCGTACAGGATGGGCACCCCCAGTGAAATGTTTTTTGGTTTATAACCCCATCTAAATGTAGTTATAGGCGTATCATACACCAACTTGTTATTATAGTTATAAACCAACTTAGCTAACTATGGGGCCCCATCCTATATATATATATGCAATATATAGTAATGCACTATCTATATAATATACCATATACATACATACATGCATGCATACATACGTACCTACGTACATACGTACCTACGTACATACGTACATGCGTACATACGTACGTACGTACATACATACACACATACACACATACACACATACACTCATACACACATACACTCATACACTCGTACACACCTACACACATACATACATACACACATACACACATACACACATACACACAGACACATACACACAGACACATACACACAGACACATACACACATACACACAGACACATACACACAGACACATACACACAGACACATACACACATACATACATACATACATACATACATACATACATACATACATACATACACACATACACACATACACACATACACACATACACACATACACACATACACACATACACACATACACACATACACACATACACACATACACACATACCCACATACACACATACACACATACACACATACACACATACACACATACACACATACACACATACACACATACACACATACACACATACACACATACATACATACATACATACATACATACATACACACACACAGACAGACAGACAGACAGACAGACAGACAGACAGACAGACATACAGACATACATACATACATACATACATACATACATGCTGTGTATGAATACATTTAATATATATCTATAATTATATGCTATAATTGATGTAGATTGATGGTCGGTTGGTGCTTTAACATTTTTTTGTTTCAAATGATCCTTTTTGAGATGATGATCCCTTTGACTGGTACTTTTTCAGGGGGTCAACCCACGACCACCAACCAGCCATGTTGCAGTACTTCTCTCCCTGTGAAATGGCTATGGATCAATACCTACAAAAATACATTTATATAGATAAATATGAATAAATAATTCAACAAATAGATAAATGAATAAGTATATATATATACATATATATATATATATACCACTTTTAGGGAAGACACGTCCAGAAACACCAGCTAAATTTCGATGGTTTCATGGCCGGGTTTTCGATGGTGAAACCACCGACTGATCCCCCCTCGCAGGATCCTGAGGGTCCCCGAGGCACGCAGAGTCAGATCTTCCGAGCGCCCCTTTATGGGAATTTTTACCATGGGAAAATCCATCAGAAATGGTAACATATTCCATGAAATACCAATGAAGATGGTGATGATTGATGATGATTCCTATTTTCAATCATTATTCCGATTGAAAATGATGAGTATACCGTAAAAAGAAACAACAAAATCCAATTTTTACATGGGGAAAATCAATAGAAACCTCATCTATAGGGATATTATGGGTATATGATAGGATCATATCAGAACCACCCAGCAATTTTTAGCATGGCTCGCTGGGAAATCCACGAACTAAGTCTGGGCACCTAAAAAAGGTACCGGTAGATATCACTGAACTAAGTCTAAGTGGTGGACTTTCCAAGCAAAGCTCGGGGAATTGATTGCCAGAGGGTGTTTAAAGATTGGGGATATACCCTCTGGTAAACGTTTACATAACTATGGAAAATCACCATTTTTTATGGGAAATTCCACTATAAATGGCCATTTTCAATAGCCATAAAACCCTACTAAACTATTACAATGTGGGGCCCCCGTTAGATAGCTAAGTTGGTGCGTTTATGACTCCAATAACTATGGTTTATGGTACGCAAATAACTATAGTTAATGGGTTTTTTATAAACCAACAAACATCACTGGGGGGCCCCACATTGTATCCAAAATGTGACTATCACCTCCAAGTCTTGTTTAACATAGTTTACAGTGAAATTCGACGTTCATCTGGTTGGTGGTTTGGAACATGAATTTTATTTTTCCATATATTGGGAATTTCATCATCCCAACTGACGAAGTCCATCATTTTTCAGAGGGTAGGTTAACCACCAACCATATATATATATATACACATATGTATATATATATATTTACCATTATTTGCCATCATTAACCATATAACAACCATATAATAACGATATACTGGGCAATGTACCATACGTGGGAAATCTCTGGCCCAGTGGTGAGCAAATCCTCGCAAGAGTTTTGCTGGGTCATCATCGCAAAAACACAACGTCACTAGAAACGGGGTATGTTGGTTGAGCCTGAAACCGCCTGAAACCCTAACAGAATTGCTTTGGGTCATGTCACTTAACTGGAAGTTCTTATGTTGGATTAGCGTGGAGTCCCCCCTATGAATCATGTTTGGTCGCCAGTGATCCACTTAGTAAAACATAGTAGAACTGCCTATGAACATCGGCCACCATAATTTTGGTTTCTTTCCTAGAATTGGTTTTCCAGTAAGAAACGCAGGATTTGCCCTTTTCTACAATGTGGGCCCCCACAGTTATAAGTTGGTTTATAAACCCCATTAACTATAGTTATAAGTACCATAAACCATAGTTATTGGAGTTATAAACCAACTTAGCTATCTTGGGGGCCCCACATTATACTTCTTTGCAAAGCCATTGGTACCTCAAGATGTTTCACAAAAAAAGCGGTTTCCAGTGACCAGGAAATCTCCCTGCGGACGCGTCTGGTCCTTGCTGCAGCCTCCAACACAGGTCAACATTCGGCATACGTATTCGCTTACGTGGGTTTGTATGGCCATTTTCAACGGGAAAATGAGGTTTTAATCCATTGGAATTGGGAGTAGCATGGAGTAGCCTATCTTCAGACTAACCCACTTGGCGCGGCCAAATGAAGTGATGTGTGATATGGGATGATGACATTGGTCTGTCCGAGAGTAAGGTATCCCATTTCGTCCAATGGTTGAGAGTTTTAAACTTTCCGCATCAAAATTGCCCACGGGTCAATTTCCAGGTTTCAAGATAAACCCAATTATCAATATGATCATACAATTGGATGATCGGAACATTTTAACCGGAAAGCCCTATATTTGATGGTAATTTTACCATGGTTTCCGGTTAAGTTTTTCCCGTGAAAACCAATCCAATGATATAGTGATTCCAATAATGGGCCCAACTGACTAATATTTTTCAGAGCGGTTGAAACCACCAACCAGCAATTATCAATATGAAGTTGGTTCATCATGTCCCCATGAATCTCCCATGAATTCCACAGCTGCGGCAAAGGCCTGAGAACTTTGCTGCTTTCCTGCTGTGGCCGACGCAGGACACGTTGAGTGCCATGTCTTCCCACTTGGTTTAGTAATTAGGGGGGTACTCCTCCAATAGTCATTTCATCTAATACTTAAATGGTACCCTCCCAATTAAACAGCCCAGGGGTTTATTAATCCAGGGTTGACATTATGAAGTTGTACAATTGCATATCCGCTAACTACTCAACATGTATTTAACTTCGGAAATACTTTGGATATGTAGTTTGTTCCACTCAGTCTTGTTCCACTGACCATATCATATATCAATATGATAATAATATATAATTATAATTAATTATATATAATACATACATACATACATACATACATACATACATACATACATACATACATACAACCATACATACAACCATACATACAACCATACATACATACATACATACATACATACATACATACATACATACATACATACATACATACATACATACATACATACATACATACATACATACATACTTATATATATATACACATACATACATACATACATACATACATACAATCACATACATACATACATACATACATACATACATACATACATATAATCACATACATACATACATACATACATACATACATACATACATACATACATACATACATACATATAATCACACACACATATATATACATATGTCATATCAATCATATCCACCAGCTTCCCCTTTTAATCGTTCCTCAACCCCGCGCCGCACGTTTTCTCCACGACGTGGAACGTAACTTTCCGATGATCTCCAGGCGCCGACGCAAGCAGAACAGCGGAGCTTCGCAGCGAGCCAAGTGCGAAAGTGAAAAACCTGGCGAGGCAGATGTAGATAGCTACAAGGTGGTGCCCCCCTAGTTATAAATTTGTTTATAAACACCATTAACTATAGATATATCACCTATAAACCATAGTTACTGGAGTTATAAACCAACTTAGCTATCTAGGGGGCACCACCTTGTATGGAACATGTTCCATTTATAGATGATAAAAACTAGTATCTTAGTAGCAATCTACTAAACTCTATCTGATCTTGGGTTTTGCTACAACATAAATATATTAACATTTGAGTCTGGTTATTTAACATACCAATAGCCATAGAAGCCACCATGGCCCATAGAAAATAGATGACACATATGATGATTGACGGTTCTTGAACATGCTGATTTTCCATGCATATCCCATTCAACCACCATTAAACTCATTAAACCACCATGAAACCACCATGAAATCGCCATTTGATAGTTCGATCACCATTAAATCACCATTAAATTACATTAAACTACCAATAAATCACCATTAAATCACCATTAAACCGCGTTGAAACACAATTTTTCACATAGAAATAGATGACAAATCTGATGATTGACCATTAAATCACCAAGAAAAACCACCATGATGGCTTAGGTCCTGGGACCTCAGGATGGACGTTCGCGATGTCACTGGCGTGAGGCCGCCGGGCCGCATCACGCCACTGGCGTGATGATGAATGGTTATTTCATCACAATCAAGAATGATTGGGTTGCGAAATCTCGATTTCCTGTAATGGCCAGCAAGAACGTTGATGATGTTGATGACGCCGACGATGATGAGGATGAGGATTTTTGATTTGCACAGTAGTTTTGACATCCGCATTGATGTGAGGTTGTCTCAAGATTTGGTACCTGCACTCCCTTCCAGGGTTTTTCAAACGACATTTTCATTCCCAGAAACTCCGGGGAGATCCCCCTTCTTTTGGCTGCTTCTGTCCCAATAGATCCACATCCTGCAGGTATTGAAGTTACTTAGAACCTCATGTTCCTCCAACCAATGAGTTAATCCTCGAAAAATATTCTCTATCGCCAGACCACTGGTTGACATTCAGATTATGTGGTTAATTCCCATTCATATCTCCATGGTATTGTCACTATTTCCACATAATGGTGGGTTAAATCACCATAACATCTCTACAAAATGCTTAAATACAAAATGTATATCCCATACTGTTAGTTCTATCCCATTAGCATCTACGAGTTCTAATATGTTACATGGGGATTTAACTATTTCATAGAATTATTTTCCCATATATCCCATGAATTTATGGGTGTATCTAATAGAATTTATATTAGTTATATGCCACAATCTCCCATTAGCACATATCAATTGATAGAACTGGTCCAACATTAGAACTATACTATCATTTATGAACATCTATTAAAATCTATTACCCTCCAGTAAATTAACATCGACCCTGGCAGATAGGGGTTCAAAGATTAGTTTCCTCTAAAAATTGGGGGTTTTCCGGGTCTATGTTAATTTACCAGAGGGTAGCATCTATTTCAATATCCCATAGAACTCTTTGGCGTGTGAATTGGTCGCCTTTTTCGAAAACAGGTGAAGTCTGTGGAACGAAGCCATGCCTTGAGGCGCGGGCGCGTCATTTATTTCATGTGTGTAAAACAATCATAAACCACACATTAGTTGGCAAAATGACAACTATCAACCATGACAACTATCATCAACCATCTCCTTTATATATCTTTATATGCCATGTATTGCCATGTATTGCCATGTATCGCCATGCTATGCCATCTTTGTCCATTGTTTGCCGACTTTCTGCTGGTTTATACCACTCATATATGTTAAAATTTGGGGATAGTTTACTGTTGCTTTACTAACATCATACATTACTTGGATGTGTGGGCCCCACGAATCGGATCCGTGGTGTATACAGTCCATGAATCTAAGCAATATTTCATCCCATCTAAAATAGGGGATATTCTATTATAATAGGGGATATTCTATTTTCATCTATACAACTTTTATATAACTGTTTTTTTTTGACCCATTTACAAAGTAGGATGCACATCCAAGTAACCATTGCAGATGGGGATTTTTTTTTGGGGATGTATATCCGGAGATGGAATGTGAAATTGTCAACGATATTTCCGTTGCAGTGATGATTCTTTTAACAATCCATATCTGGTTGGTGGTTTGGAACATTTTTTATTTTTCCATATATTGGGAATAGTCATCCCAACTGACGAAGTCCATCGTTTTTCAGAGGGATAGGTCAACCACCAACCAGATATGGCCTCTCTACTCGAAATGCCATGGTCACCATCCCCGGGGTTTGTTATGTATTGTACGGGTCAGTATCATGAAACCTCCAATGCTTCGTCCCGGGGTCCCGGTAGATCTCAAACAGTTTGAGCCGCCATGAGACGATTTTCCAAAGGATAGGAACATGACCAATGAAGATGAGAATATAGTCACCAGTGATTATGCAAACACCAAGTGAGCATTTTTTTCCAGCAAAGGAAAGTTTTTTTACCAGTCCAAACATTGTTAACAAGGCGAGCACATCTGCAAGAATCGATTGGTCCTGACTGTGATGTGATTGTGATTTTCAGTCGCATCTTCTGCGGGATTTATCACTCTGGATGATTGACATGCATCCAATGGCCTGTCAGTAAATTTTCGTCACAAGACCCCTTTGGTTTGGTTGTTTACTAACATATGAGGCTCCCAATAGCAGGTTCTTCCCCAACAGGGGCTTCAACATTTTGAACAAAAGGGTTTTTGGTGGTGATTAACCATGATTAACCCGTCCTTCATGTTTGGCTGGCCATGAAACATTGGCATTTGAAACCATCAAACATGCCATGTTCATCGATGTTCCATAGAACCACTGAGATGATATGATGATCCCATTTGAAAATATTTGAAAACCACCAAGCAGTTGCTCTTTGGTAATCATGGCCGCCATGATTCACTCCGATTTTTTGGTGAAATCCGCGTGAAATCTGCTTGCCATGGCTCTCTGCGGGATCACACTCATTAAATCCCCATTGTCAATGGATTGGTTTAAGGGAAAATCTACAGGAAAGCCCCATATTTAATGGATTTTAATGGGAAAATCATGGAAAATCTATGATTTCCTGTAAATTTTCCCTTAAACCAATCCAATCACATTGTTGATCAAAGATCCGGACTTTTTGGACTCTGGCAATTCATGGCAATTCCATTGATCTGGGTAAATTTCATCACGTCACGTCGCGATAGAAAACCCTGGAATCATGGTTGGAAATCTTTCGTAGAAATCATCCTCTATTTTGGCCGAAGAATTCAGGTGAGTGAATTATTATAGTTTACCCATATATATATAATTCTGGTATATTATATTTACCCAGATATGATAGTTTACCCAATCACTTACCCTGGCAATTGTTAGTCCATAAATTGTTTACCCAGATTGATATCATGACTAGCAATTGCCTAGTGAATTGATTCCATGGATTGATTCTGCAGGAAAATCCTCACCGAAGATCATTGGGGTTTCCGGTTTGAAAAACCTGGCCCTCCCCGACCCACTGTGTCAGGGAGTTGGCCGCCTGGGGCACACCACGTGATCGAATCGCCTGGCATGTCTCGCCCAAGTGAAAGGCCACGGCTGCGGAATGGGAAAATCGTAAGCAATATATATCTGGTTGGTGGTGACTGGAACCATGGAATTTTCCTGGTGAATCTATGGTTAATCTATGGTTAATCTATGGTTTTATATGGTTAATAATTTAATAATGGTTAATAATTGGAACAACAATATATCTGGTTGGTGGTGACTGGAACCATGGAATTTTGAATGACTTTCCCATCATATTGGGAATGTCATGATCCCAATTGACGAACTCCATCATTTTTCAGAGGGGTTGAAACCACCAACCAGTATGTATATATATATATATTAATAGAGATATGCAATGGGACTTGGAATATGAATAGGTATATGTATCGACACAGATGTTACATATATATGGGGGTTTCCATAGATGGAGGTACCCCAATAGCTGGATGGTTTATGATGGAACATACCATTAAAATGGATGAGAACTGGGGGTACCCCTATTTCAGGAAACCCTCATATATCTACATTTATAGGGATATGTAATGGGATATGGAATACGGGATATTAATGGGATATGTTGCTGGTGTTGCTGTTGTTCTTGATAATGTAAGAACCAATATATCTATATTCATAGGGGTTCAATGGGAATTCAATAGGATATTAATGAATATGAATGGGATACTTAAAAAGGCCATAAAATGGTCCCAACAGGTAATCTAATGTAATCTATACATTCTTATCAATCTGGTTGAGTCACCTTTCCCTATTTCATCGACTTCCAATGCTGAAGAGCATGGAATGGCAGCTTCCATGAGGAACCTTCCAGTGCCTCGAGCGGCTGATGGTTGAGCCCCTGATTGGATGGTTTTTTTTCATCTTTTTCACCATTAGAATTGCCATAACATGGGAGGTATATACCCTGATGTTTAGAGAAACCATGAGAAACCTATTTTGCAAAATGTGTTTTTGTTGTTGAAGATGAAACGTTTCCCAATGGGACATTGATGCTGTGAAGACTATGTAATTTGGTGTGGATGCCATGAAACTGCCAGTGTGAATGTTCAAATCAGCTTGGTACATCTTTCGCAGACTAAAGAGCCATGTTCGATACCCGCAAGAAATAGGTAAAAATAACTGGTTGGTGGTTTCACACATTTTTTATTTTCCATAATATATGGGATAATCATGGATAATCCTTCCCATCGACTTTCATATTTTTCAAGATGGTTATCGCACCACCAACCAGAGAAAAGGTATGATCAACCGGATTTTCAGGTACCCCATGTTCAGACAGACTTATGACTTATTTTGAGGATTTCCGTCATGACCTCCCTATAATAATGGGCGATGCCCCCAGGGTAATGTCGCAATGGGGCAGTGTCTTCGCATCTTGTGGCTTCTCCGGGCTTTAAATTCCAAAAATGCATCAAAAATCAGGCTCCTAGACCTCAGAAAATGATGGAGTCATAGTCAAAATAGATCAAGAGATATTTTCAGGATATCTCATGTACTATCAAGAAATATTCGAAAGTAACTGATGTATATCTGAAAGCCACCAAATATCAAGATGCGGCACCTAGTAATCTGAAGTTTCCAAGGTTCGGAAGCTGCGAGAGTCCATCGGAATTCAGGCTGCGCGGCAGATTGGCGGATCGCCATGCCTGGTGTCTCACCTGGAATCCGCTTGCGTTCACCGCGGGCAACGCACCAAAGGTGCCGGAGAAAAAGGAGTTGCATGGAGAAATCCTGGTGATTGATTATTAGTTTGCTATAAATGGCGATGTATACATAATATATATATATATGTATAATTATTTATACATATATATATATATATGTGCGTGTGTGTGTGTATCTATAATATACATGTACGGTAACGACATTTAAATATGTGGAGGCGGGACCGCGACGCCCCCAGAGGTAGTATGAAACACAAGTTCCATCCGGGCGGGCCAAGGAAAGCCTTCCCGAAGGTAGTGCAATAAATAAAGGATGGGGCCCCATAGTTGGCTAAGTTGGTGCAAATAACTATAGTAGTGTATATTAATTAATAATAGTGTATGATAACTATAATTAATTACATAGGGTTTATTTTTACCAACTAGGGGTTTATAACTAGAATAACAATAGTGTATGATACGCAAATAACTATATTTGGATGAGGTTATAAACCAACAAACATTTCACTGGGGGGCCCCATCCTGTACCAGTTCGTGTATTTGAAAATCCGTATATTTAAATGTAGTTACCGAATACGCTAAGGAGCGGACAATGTTATGTGTTTGCAAGGTATCTAAGATTAGCCATGTTGCTGGGTGACTTATTCTTCCACTTCTGATTGAAGGAGGAGGACATGTAAACAGCCCCAGATAATGATGGGAAACCATATTTCATCAAACCAGCACCTTGAAACATCTTGAAATGGGTTGGTCGTACAATTCAAATTGCCAAAACATTGACATAAGTCCTCCAATATTGTATAGCACATTTTGTTGGATCCCATTTTCATACCCATAGATTGGTTCATTAACATCGCCATTTAGCCACCATTATAGTTGGTACCAAACCCACTATACTCGAATGATATATCATATAGTTAAACTATATGTTGGCATAAGTCACCATATTATTTCATTAGAGTTGGCTATATCACCCTTTTTTCCCCGCATGATATCTTCCATTCTATCCCATTAAATCCATCATTGTCCCAGTAATTAGCCCATAAAACAGAAAATCCATTCTATCAAAGTTCGGGCTAAATCCCATGAAATTCCCAGAATTGTCCATCATTTCCACCATGTTTCTTTTTCGGATGGTTTTGGATGCGGCACCAGGAGCATTAGTGAAGGCTGTGTAGCCATGGCCAAAGGGCAGGCAACAAGGGCTATCGGGCCAGACCTTGAATTGGGAGGAAGAACTGGATATTATAAGAATTAGTTGGATTTTATACAATGTGGGGCCCCCCAGTGATGTAAGTTGGTTTATAAACCCCATTAGCTATAGTTATAAGTACCATAAACCATAGTTATTGGAGTCATCAACCATGTCTAGATATACCCTCTGGTAATTTGTTACATAGCTATTGAAAATGGCCCATAGAAATAGATGATTTTCCCAGCGAACTAAACCTCCATTTATTTTGGGGATTTTCCATGGCGAACTGTTAATCATAACCAGATGGTAGTTGGATTTTATAGAGTTTATATAATCCAACTAGTGGGATATTTATTAGTTAGTTTAGTTTAAATCCAACTATATGTATATGAAACCACCAATCAGTAGAGAATCTATGGGATTTTGTACAGTTTATACACAATGAATGGGATATATTCATGATTATAAAGGTTTAGTTAACCAAGAGACATGGTGGAAGACGGGGATTTTTTCTGAGAATTTCATGTGGGGTTTACCCTGGCTGCCATAAACAAGAACCATTTTGGGATGGTCTTACCACCCATAAAAATGGTGATTTTTGGGGATGGTTTATTACCCTCTAGTAAATAAACAGTTGGACCCTGATTTTTATAACCAATTTTTAATGGACACTAATCTTCCAACCCCGAAAAATGGCAGGGTCGAACTGTTAATTTACTGGATGGTATTGGGTTTAACACATTTTAACCAATATATATATATATATAATATACTGGGATATAAGCGGGATATATGGGATATCATCGGATATATATTTGCACATATTTTCTGATTCGACATGGAACCATGACGATATATGACGATGAAGCACTGGATTTTGGGGCCCTCCTTTCTCGGAGAAACTGATCTATCATGATAATATAAGATATATGATGTATCTATCATTGTCTAGTATCTATATCTATAGAAATCTATAGACATACCCTCTGGTAAACGTTTACACTTTGCGAACTGGAAAATCACCATCTTTAGGTTGGGTAAATCCACTATTTCTATGTGCCATTTTGTTAGCGACTCTCAGGCGTTGATGGATGCGGTGGTGTGCGGCCACAAAAGTTACAACGGCATCCGTGACGAGCCGGGCACCCCAAGGGATGACCAAAAAATGTTCGTCATCCAATCAGAAACCATGGTGGCCCTAGATCTAAGCCCTGGATTAATGTCAGCCCCAGTTTTGGCAGTTTTAAGGGAAGGTACCATAAAAAAGTAAGTGTCAAATCATGACTATTGGGGAAATACCCCCCTAATGAATAAACCATGGGTTTATTAATCCGGGGTTTACATTAACGTGATGAAACTTGGGTCCGTCAATTTTCCGTCAAATGTCCATGATACAAAGAAATCCATTGATTGATTAAGGGGAAAAACCCAACATGCCCACTGGGTAGTCATCATTTTCCCAGAGGACAATCCCATTTGGATCTATCTGAAAGGAGATGTACCCCGAAAGATCTTAAAGAAATAATATATATATATATATTATATCATATGATGACTTTAGACCGGGATTAGTTTTGGGATATTGATATGGGTCTGAAAATGTGGTATACACCCAATACTGGCTAGTTCATCCGGAATATGATCGTTAACCAATGGACTTCGGATGATTTAGGGATTCCACATTTTCAGAGAAACCATTTTTTGGGATGGGTCAAAACCTAGATAAAACCTAGATATTCTTCTCATATTTTGGGGAATAAGCATCCATTCACATCCGTCAAAAAACCATCCATTGGTCCATGACTCCGGGTACCATCCGGGTACGCCAGATCCCAGGTTGTACGACATCTATGAGGAGGCCGTTTTTGGCAGGGTTTCCAGGGGATTTTTCGTCGCTGGATGGTGAATTTTCGAAGATCTCTATGGTGAACTCTATGAACGGTTAGGGGAATTTTTCGGAAAATCCATCTACCCTCTGGTAATTTAACGTAGCTATGGAAAGATCCACCATTTTTGATGGGAAAATCCACTATAAATGGCCATTTTCAATAGCTACGTTAAATTACGAGAGGGTATAAATGGAGGATGAACCGGGGTACCCGGCCTGGTAAACATACCCAAAAAACGATGGACAGATCCACCATTTTATGATCAAGATATGGGG